AACAGTTTTAAAAATTAATGTTTGCAAGATATATAAACATTAGGGTCTTACAATAGAAGTGATGCTTTTAAAACGGCAGTTAAATTGTTGGCAAAAACAATTGAGCACATAAAATGGACCAGAGTGATACCGTATTTTTTTTAATGTCCACTACGAAACGGGTCAAATCTCCTTCAGTATCTGGTTTTAAAATTATGAAAAAAATATCAGTGTACAGCTTTGTATGTGCTTTGATCTGGGACTATTATACTAGTATAATAGTCCCAGCTTTGATGAATAGAATCATTTTTGTTACTACAACAATATAGGAATTGTGGGGATAAAATAAAACATGTGAATATGTCCTCTACGTAATGGTCAACTACGAAACAAGTATCAGAGAAAAACGTTTCGTAGTGGACACTAGCACTACCATGCAGTCGTTTTTAGCTCACCTGGCCCGAAGGGCCAAGTGAGCTTTTCTCATCACTTGGCGTCCGTCGTCCGTCGTCCGTCGTCGTCCGGCGTCGTCCGGCGTCGTCCGTCGTCGTCCGTCGTCGGCGTTAACTTTTTACATTTTGAACTTCTTCTAGAGTACCACTGAATGGAATGAAACCAAACATGGCATGAATGTTCCTTATGAGGTGCTGACCAAGTGTTGTTACTTTGTAGCGGATCCATCATCCAAGATGGCCGCCAGCGGGGGACTTAGTTTAACATAGGACCCTATGGGAAATACATACAAATGTCTTCTTTTAGAGAACCACTGAATGGAATGAAACCAAACATGGCATGAATGTTTCTTATGAGGTGTTGACCGAGTGTTGTTACTTTGAAGCCGATCCATAATCCAAGATGGCCACCAGCTGGGGACTTAGTTTAACATAGGACCCTATGGGAAATACATGAAAATGTCTTCTTTTAGAGAACCACTGAATGGAATGAAACCAAACATGGTATGAATGTTCCTTATGAGGTGCTGACCAAGTGTTGTTACTTTGAAGCCGATCCACAATCCAAAATGGCCGCCAGCGGGGGATTTAGTTTAACATGGGACCCTACGGGAAATACATACAAATGTCTTCTTTTAGAGAACTACTGAATGGAATGAAACCAAACATGGTATGAATGTTCCTTATGAGGTGCTGACCAAGTGCTGTTACTATGAAGCCGATCCATAATCCAAGATGGCCGCCAGCGGGGGATTTAGTTTAACATGGGACCCTACGGGAAATACATACAAATGTCTTCTTATAGAGAACCACTGAATGGAATGAAACCAAACATGGCATGAATGTTTCTTATGAGGTGCTGACCGAGTGTTGTTACTTTGAAGCCGATCCATAATCCAAGATGGCCGCCAGCTGGGGACTTAGTTTAACATAGGACCCTATGGGAAATACATACAAATGTCTTCTTTTAGAGAACTACTGAATGGAATGAAACCAAACATGGTATGAATGTTCCTTATGAGGTGCTGACTGAGTGTTGTTACTTTGAAGCCGATCCATAATCCAAGATGGCCGCCAGCGGGGGACTTAGTTTAACATGGGACCCTATGGGAAATACATACAAATGTCTTCTTTTAGAGAACCACTGAATGGAATGAAACCAAACATGGCATGAATGTTCCTTATGAGGTGCTGACCGAGTGTTGTTACTATGAAGCTGATCCATAATCCAAGATGGCCGCCAGCAGGGGACTTAGTTTAACATTGGACCCTATAGGAAATACATACAAATGTCTTCTTTTAGAGAACCACTGAATGGAATGAAACCTAACATGGCATGAATGTTCCTTATGAGGTGCTGACCGAGTGTTGTTACTTTGAAGCCGATCCATAATCCAAGATGGCCGCCTGCAGGGGACTTAGTTTAACATGGGACCCTATGAGAAATACATACAAATGTCTTCTTTTAGAGAACCACTGAATGGAATGAAACCAAACATGGCATGAATGTTCCTTATGAGGTGCTGACCGAGTGTTGTTACTTTGAAGCCGATCCATAATCCAAGATGGCCGCCAGCGGGGGACTTAGTTTAACATGGGACCCTATGGGAAATACATACAAACGTCTTCTTTTAGAGAACCACTGAATGGAATGAAACCAAACATGGCAAGAATGTTCCTTATGAGGTGCTGACCAAGTGTTGTTACTTTGAAGCTGATCCATCATCCAAGATGGCAGCCAGCGGGGGACTTAGTTTAACATAGGACCCTATGGGAAATACATGAAAATGTCTTCTTTTAGAGAACCACTAAATGCAATGAAACCAAACATGGCATGAATGTTCCTTATGAGGTGCTGACCAAGTGTTGTTACTATGAAGCAGATCCATAATCTAAGTTGGCCGCCAGCGGAGGACTTAGTTAAACATAGGACCCTATGAGAAATACGTACAAATGTTTTCTTTTAGAGAACCATTGAATAGAATGAAACCAAACATGGCATGCATGTTCCTGTTGAGGTGCTGACCAAGTGTTGTTACTTTGAAGCTGGTCCTTCATCCATGATGGCTGCCAGATGGGGGCAATGTTTAACAAAGGACCCTATGGACAATACATACAAATGACTTCTTTTAGAGAACCACATACTGAATGGATTGAAAACAAACATGGCATGAATGTTCCTTATGAGGTGCTGACTAAGTTTTGTTACTTTGAAGCTGATCCTTCATCCATGATGGCCGCCAATGGGGGGACTTCCTTTAACATAAGACCCTATGGGAAATACGTACAAATGCTTCTTCTAGAGGTGCACTGAATGGAATGAAACCAAAACATGGCATAAATGTTTCTTATGAGGTGCTGATTAAGAATTGCTACTTTGTTGCCGATTTACTGTTCAAGATGACCACCAGGATTTTTTATTAAATTACAGGACCAATATTAAACCAAATTTGGCCTCACTCATTATTAGGGTATCTGTTATGATTTTAATCTATTTTTACATGATTTCCAAAACCAAAGTAGAATCAGGTGAGCGACACAGGCTCTTGAGAGCCTCTAGTTTACTTTTTTTTTCAATTATATTCGTGCAAAACAAGTAACAAGAGTTAATTTCATGTAATTTTCAGTATGTTTTTATCAACATAGAATAGGGTTGATGTCAACTACGAAACTTTTTGTCCACTACGAAACGGTTTTGTCAACTACGAAACTCATCAAAATGTCCACTACGTAACATGAGTTGTACCTTCATATGTGAAGTACTGTCTAATCTTTATCGATAAAAAAAAATGGTTCTCCAATTCAGAAAAAAATAAAATCTTTCTAGTATATAAAGTAAAACAAACTGGAATGTCGATAGGAGACATTAAAATGCCATACGATGTGCGTTTAGAAGCAGTTTCGTAGTGGACAAATGTCCCCTACGAAACAGTACATAAATTATGAAAAAAATATCATTTTGAAGAGTATTTAAGATTGCACTTTTTATTTACAAACAGGTCTATAATAGAGGTATTTAAAATGACTCTTGAAATAAAATTTTAGACAAGTTGATTTTCCCATTTGTTTTTAGGTCTGAAATTCACACTTTTATTGAAAAACGCCCATACAAGTAAGAAACGTCAAATAAAAGTCACGACAATTTTAAATAAAGAAAAAAAAATATATATCTTAAAGAATAAATCAAATGTTCAACCGTACATCTAAACATGTCGATTTTGAATTATCAATGCATAATGTGGCTTATCCAAATACTACAGACAAAGGTTGTCGTTTTCATCTTTGACAGGCCTGGTTTCAAAAGAAAAAATCCAGAATTTAGCGAGTACAAAGATAAGTCAACTGAAATAGGAGAATGGTAAACGGAGATTTTTGGAATATGCCATTTCTTCCGGCGGAAGAAGTTGAGGACAGTTTTGCAGAAAATATAATGTCAGATGCTCCTGAAAATGAAAACTGCAACATATTTGCCGACTACTTAGTTCAATGGACCAGAGTCTTTTCCCAGTTATTACAATGAAGTTTTATTCTACTCATCCAGTCATCTTCACCTTCATAGATATTATACTGCGATTTCAGGCCACTCATTTTAGCGTTTATATAAGCGAATAAAGACTTCTCTAATATATATCTATCAATTTAAGAAATAAGAAGATGTGGTATTCATGATTGTCAATTTATGTTCAAAACAATAAACGAAAAACCAATATGATAAATAACGACCAGCGAGATAACTCATTACTGTAAAAGAAACGTAAAATTCAGGTCATTCCCATGATTTAATCACAGGTAAAAACTCAATTAAATTACAAGTGAATTCGCGCAAATGTAATACCATTCCTCCCACAAACGTACTGCTTGTCATAATCTATTTCGCTAAAAGGTCTCCCACTGATAGCAACTGAGTTGTTCGGAAACCAAAAATTTGACTTTATTAAGTTATTGAACCATGGCAATTAAACATTTGAAATAATGTTTCTAATATAATTATGTTTGCACAAGAAATTTATTTTTCAAAGCAGGAAAGAAAACATTAGTTAATGCAAGGAATTGTATATATTTAAATATACAATTCCTTGGTTAATGCAAGGATTTGTATAGTCTCACTATATTATGCCTGTTTAATGTCTTTGTCGTCGTTCATCTGAAATTTCTTAGAACCTTTTCTGTACCTTCTTCATTGCCAAATTTAGATAACCATCAGTAACTTCTTTCGGATAATCATTCTAAAGTCATATGATTTCTCTCCAGGTTGAGCAATGACTTGTTATGAAGTCTGACAGACAAACATAAGGATTTTATTCATTCTTTGTGATCATATAGATTTTGGCTTTGATCTTTTTATGCATATTGGGGGATTTGATAATGGCCGGGAACATTAGTATTGTTACTTCAAATGCCATTTTGACTTTATTTACACCTTCTTACATAAATACTGCAGTACTCTGCTAGTCTTTTGAAGTTAATAGTCTCAAAAGAATTACAATTGTACCTTTAAATAATTAAAATTCACAACTTTTAAGTTTAAAAAAATCAAGCTTTTAAACACCACGTTCCATTACATCCATTAAATAACTATGTATATAAACCATTCAATGAAGCATAGAATTTAATTCAAATACAATACCGTTTTTGAAGCTATCTTCCTGGTTGGAAAATCGACTGCTAGTATATATTATGAAATGGATAATGACCGTGTTGGAGTTTCTGAGTGTGAAAAATAATCTAGGAAATAATGGATTCAAAAATGGTATGATTTTATTTACCAAATGTTTTAACGGGAACAATGCTAGATTTAAAGTCATGGTAAAAAATGACAAATTCTGCGCAGTGTTCTGTTATTATTATCTTTTCTTATGTCGTATTTCTTCTCGGTTATAGTTTTGTCTATTTTTATTGAACCTATTATGTTTTATTACCCCCTTGGTATCTTGTCTCTCGCCGGGCTCTTTTTATTAATACAAAGATTTTCTCCACACACAGTGTCACAGTCCCCTGTACATGTATGTGTTATGGTAATGCATAATCAATTATTGGATTTGATCTTCCCTATAAAATAAATAAAATATGAAATATGCACATACTTTAAGTTCATCTTATTTTTATTTACCTTTATTTAAACATTCACAGCGTAATTTATTTACACGAACGGAACAATTTACCACTCCTTCCAATCCCTACTCATGATAACCCTTTTCTATAGTATTTCTGCTTTTAATTTTTAACAAAGAGTAGGACCAATTTCCCTAAAGAAATCACTCAGGTCAAGGATTTGTATAGTGAGACAAATCCTTGCTCAGGTATCAAAATCTTGAATTTAGTGGGTTACAATTGAAGTATTTGAATAGTATATATTTTAACAACTTTTCTACACTAAAAAAGTAAGAGGATGTGTTATGATGAGCGATGAAACAATACTCCACCAGAGCCCAAATGACGTAGAAATCAAAGTTTTTAACCAAATAAATTGATTTGTATCTGAAAGACACCACATAGCCTATTACCTCCGATTGCATTTTAGTGTTATTTAAGAAAGTTCTGAAGAAATAACATTCAAATAAAAGTTCTCATAATTTGCCAAAATCTATCAAAATTGCCTTTTGAGAAAGAAATAAGCACTTGTTATTTGATATATATATAGCATTATCAAACATACTTTTACGTTGTAATATACTAGTAGTACTAATCTTATTGTAAAGATTGAAAGATTATCTGAGAAAGGATTTACTTCGAAATGAATTAAGGGGAAATTGGCTCTACCCTTTTTGCTAAATTATTTCCTAAGTCTAAATATTTTATTAAAATGATTCAACGTGTAAAATGGCGATATTTAAATGTTTTTGGAAAATCAATGTTTGGAACAAAATCAATGTTTGGAACAAAACACATATAAAAAAACTGGCATCGATTCAGATCAATAATATGTATTGAGATTTAATCTAGATAGCATACTCATGTTGGGTAAGTATATCTATCGATAAAAAATGATTATAAACGCCTGCACAATTTAAAGTTTAATGAGACATGCATATGCATAAATATAATGTTCAAACTTTGTAATGTTTACATCGACAACAGATGTGCCAGTATTTTTTTCGATGCTAGGTCGTTACACCTGAACAACTGTGAATTCTTCCTACTACCTTTATGCAACAGTGTATACAATGTTTGTAACAAATATTTTGGGCTCTTTATTTTGTTGTTGTTGTAAGAATCCAACTTTAAGTAAGATTAAATATCATCTACACTCCATTTATCATCATCTTTAATAACAAAATAACGCAATCGTTTTGTTATTCATGAAACGGAAATTTACAGACAAAATGTATCTTTTAAATCATGCATATCTGAAGCACTATCTGATGTGTTGGTGGTACTGGGAGTAAAAAAGGATATGTATTCCGTATGCCAACCAACTGTTCATTTAAAAAGCTCGTGGCCAAACGTTTGGTAAGCCAACCATAATTTACATTTGAGAGGATAAAAACTTGGGAATTTCAAAACAGAATAGACACAACTGTCCAAAGTTAATCTTGTAGAAGAGCAAAAACAAAACATGATTTCCGTTCGTACAAAATGTGTTTTTAGATCTCTGTGAATATTTGTCCACCAGAAAACTGAAATACTACTAGTATATTACAACGTAAAAGTATGTAAGAAAAAGTGGTAAAATATGAAAGTTATTTCAGTGTGCGCAGCAAGCGTTTCTGGAATGAACTTACCCCGCCACATTTTGTATTTCTTATACGAAATCAGTAGCCTCTAATTCAGTGGTTGCCATTGGTTGCTGTTTGTCGTGTTTGTTTTTCGTTTTGTCATGAATTTGTTGGTTTTCGAGTTTGAATTTCAAATTTTGACAGTACATGACCTTTTTATGTTAAGATTTCTAACTGATTTTTACAGTTTTTTCTAGTGTTGTGCTATTACACCACTGCCCCTGGTTAGGGAAAGGTTGAGCGCTGGCACACATGTTTAATCCGCTACATTCACATTCTATATGTCGGCCGAGTTTACACATCAATAAACCAAGTCAGGAGTCTGTAAAAGAGAGGCGAAAGATACCAAAGGGACATCCAAATTCACAAGTCGAAAATAAACTGACAACGCCATTGTAAAAAGAAAAAGGCTAAAAGACAACAACAACATACAAAACACAACATGGAAAACTAAAGATAAAGCAACACGAACCCCATTAAATCTCAGGTGTTCCAGAAGAGTAAGCAGATCCTGCTCCACATGTGTTGCTCATGTAAGTACAAACCCGGTGATAAGTCTATTCGGTTGGTCACATTCTGGGAAAAGGAGCCTGGTGGGATTGTGGTTACAATGATTGGAATAATATAAACGGGACCAATTTTAATGCACCAGATGCGCATTTCGACAACTAATGTCTCTTCAGTAACATATCCGTTGTCAACTGTGAAACAGATATTCCGTAACGACCAGCCAACTCGTGATGGCGTTCGTAAAATTTTCGAAGGGATGATTTCAACTTCACAACTTGGAACTCTTGGTTTAATAGCTTCCTCATGAACAGCAACCCTCTATCTAGGAAATCATGCTAGCACATGCTCAATCTATGGTAATTGTCTTTATATATTTCACAGAAACAAGAAGTATGGTAATAAAGATTTCCGTTTCTAACGGGACAAACTTTTATCTGTTTAACCGAATTAACCATTTATCTGCAATTTACCGTTGATACGACTTTCACTAAATCTAGTTATTCAGTCACCATGGAATTTCCATACTTTTCGACTATTTTACCTTATATATTTTTATTTTTTCAAAATTGTTTTGATTCATAACAATGAAAGGATCGAGATGTGAAATTGTCTTTTACCTTTGTTTCAAAATGTGAATTGATAAAGTTGGTAGTTTGTGAAATAGTACTATAATACATTGTTATTGGAATGATTCAACATCATTAGAAAAAGTTAATGCATACGGAGTATATATCTCCCAATTGATATGATATTCCTGCTGCTCACATGGAAGCTATTAAACCAAGAGTTCCAAATGGTGAAGTTGAAATCATCCCTTCGTAAATTTTAAATTTTACGGACGCCATCACGAGTTGGTTGACCGTTATGAAATATCCGTTTCACAGATGATAGCGGATATGTTCCTAATGTCGTAACTACAATCCCGTTCCCTTTTCACAAATGTGACCTACCGAATTAGATTATTTACCGGGTTTGTTCTAACATGAGCAACACGACGGGTGCCACATGTGGAGCAGGATCTGCTCACCCTTCCGGAGCACATGAGATCACCCCCAGTTTTTGTTGGGGTACGTGTTGCTTAGTCTTTAGTTTTCTATGTTGTGTTTTGTGTACTATTGTTTGTCTGATTGTCTTTTTCTTTTTTAGCCATGGCGTTGTCAGTTTATTTTCGATTTATGAGTTTGAATGTCCCTCTGGTATCTTCCGCCCCTCTTTTATTGGAATGTTTCAATTTTTAGAAAAGTTAATGATAAAATGATGTTTTAGTGTTTCGTTAAAATGATTTCATTTGGTAGTTCGTTGATTTTTACGTAGCACCATCTGCTGGAGCAAAGGCAGTTAAGGGCATACGATACAGTTTTTATCCCACGATAATTTTTTGGCGAAAATTTGCATACAAACTATTTATCACCTAGTCAATTCAAATATGTCATAACAAAATATACCTTCGTGTGCTACTTTTAAAGATAAATGGAGTCGAAATTTGAGACATTTACTTAAATTTTCGATTTCTTGGACATTTCTATCTTTTGCACAGATATACTCAACTTTTCTCTTTCAAAAGATAATCACAAGCGGATTTTTGTAAAAACATTTGGAATAAAGATTTGTGTGAAATCTTTGGAAATAATTTATTTTTGTTATATCTAAAAATGGGGTCAGTGTAGTCGTTTTCAAGCTAATGAATAAAATCAAACGAAAGAAAGTAGCGAAATCGAAAGATATATATGTGATAAACCGTATTACTCAAGGTGTATGCAAATATGTAAACGCCAAAATTAAGCCGACATGAATTGATTTTCTGTTTTTCAACTTCAGAATGGTTTTAGTTTTACCAACATCAGACCAAGTCCAACAAACCCTCACAAGAAACCAATTTATATAAACACAGGAAAACTTCAAGTAAGTAATGTGCTGTCATATGTATAGTAGTAAAGCACAGAACTGCTACTGGTAACTTTTATGTATGACAGAATCTATAATGATATAGTTTCTTATCTACAAATAATTGACATTGCATCTTATTTTAATTGTAAGTAAAACATTTTTAAATGAGTTTTTAGATAAGCAAGTAATTATGTTTAGTGTGTGTGTTAGTCGGCCGAGTTTACACATCAATAAACTAGGTTATAATATAAAATGTGCATATAAAAAAGCCTGCTTTTATTGTATTCCTTTTCAAACAGGTTTTTACTTGTCAGGTACATTCGTGTGATCATATCAAAACAATGCGATGTAATAAACATATCAAATCAAGGCGGGGAATGTGGCTATCATGGGGGTATTGTATTTCACTAGGAAGCATTTATAAATATAGCTACCTTTGTCTATTTTATGTTACCTATTATTCAAAAAGTGAATAAAAGGGTACAATAAGGTAGGACAACATTGTCAAGACACATAATTTCTATTTAAAACGGAATCATAATAAATATTATAGAAATGCGATGCTAATGAAAATAACACTTTATTAATTTCGTGCGTCCGAAGAGCTGTTGAAAATCTTTGTGTTACATTGTAAAGACTGTAATATTGACATCTTAACAATCTCGTATGGTTATTTCTAAGAGGCGCCGTTTTACTATTAATTCCTTATTTTCTGATATCAAAAAATATTTCTTGATATAAAAAAATTGAATTCCTGATGTCAAAAATTGATTTTTTGATATCAAAAAATATATTTTGATGTCAAAAAATATTTCTTGCTATCAGGAATTCAATTTTGTTATATCAAAAATTCCCTTTTTTTATATCAAGAATTCGATTTCTTGATATCAGAAAATCATCTATATTTCTTGATATCAGGAATTCGATTTTTTGATACAAAAAAAATAGATTTTCTGAAATCAAATGATACTGACGATTTTTTTATATCAAGATATACATTTTCTGATATCAGAAAATCAGAAAAATAATTAATGATGGCTCCCTATGTGTCAATGAAAGTATCCGAGCTCACCCATGAGCCCTAACATTAGGTCTGCTGTTTCGGTCGTGTAAGAATATCTCAGAGTTCGGCTTCATCAGTCATACCAAGTTTTGTGTTTTGTGTTTAGCATATTAATTATTACTTTAAGGTTTATAGTCAATAATTCTTGTAAGTTCCCGTTTCTTTCATAAGCAATTATTGATTTCCTCTAAAACAGATTTGTGAAGCCAGGATTTTGTGAAATCAAGCCGTAGTGTTTTGGTAATCTTGTTTTTAGTGGGGTTTTCCCCGTTGTTTGTGTTGCGGATTTAGTAAATCAGTTAGTTCTGTTTAATATATAAATAAGGAGATGTGGTATGATTGCCAATAAGATAACTATCTACCAAAGTTCAAATGAAGTAGATGTAAGCAATTATAAGCAACCGTACGGCTTTCAACAATCGGCTATAAAAGGCCCCGACATGAACACTATGAAAAACAATTCAATTGAGAAAACTAACGGCCAAATTTATAACAAAACAATTTACGAAAAACAAATATGACAGACATGAACCAACGACAACCACTGAACTACTAGCTTGGGACAGGCACATAAAGAATGTGGCGGGGTTAAACAGGTTTTAGCGCCCAACCCTCCACCGGTGTGATATCATGACATAAGAACAAACTATAAAAATCAGTTTTAAAAAAAGGAAAAGGGCTTAACTCATCAGATCGATACAAAGAAGAAAAACAGCTAACAAAAACACAGACCAGACGTTGCAGGGTATTCAATACATTCGTAACAACAACAAAAAGACACGAAGTACAGATCTGAGAGTACTCGCAGTTAATGACAGCTATTTCAAAGCCAAAAACGACTAATAAAAAAAAGTGCATGTCTTGTATTTTCAAATACTTCGTCTATTTCGTCTTTTTTAAGAGCTTTTTCTTTTAAAGACTGCTAGCATTTCTTATGTGCCGCGCCTTGCATAAATCCTTTTATATGTAATACATTTATTTTATATGAGCTTTTTCTGTGAAGTATTGAAAAGTTTCATTAGGTTTAGTGTACGATTTTACATCTAAAATACCTTCATTTTGGAAGCGTTTGGCTTTGTATTAAAACGACTGTCAAGAAAGTTAATTTCATTTTGAGAAAATTGGTATGTAAAATTTATAAGTGGTTATGTATTGTATTAGATATATAAGGCGAAAATATCGTGTATTACGTCAGTTGAACCTGAATATATCATCCAGCCATCGTATCTACATCTTGAACACATCAGCATTTTGTTTCGATAACTGTGTCAAGCTTTGTAAAACATTTTCCAGTATTTAGTAAATTCTTAGGTTGACTAACTCTGCCGATTGTGATTCTAAGTGTTCGACGCAAAAGTAAATATTTTATATTTTAGAATAATTTTTAAAAGCTTTAATATATTGTCTTTTAGTGCATATATTGTCTTTTAGTGCATGGGACTCGAATTTCGTAATTAGTTGGATCGAGGTAATTAATTACTCGTTCAGTTTCGTCAAACTGAAGATAAGTGTACATGTTTTTTGCTTCAAATGTTATTAAATAGCAGTTTTCTGGAGACTTTGAAGTCTAAATCATGTTATGTTTATAAAACTTGAAGTGTCCTTGATATAAGTTTTTTGTTTTTGTAACCAGGGATCCTATGTCATCAATATAATGACCAATATCGTGTAGCGGTACTCAACATTATAAAAAAATTGGTCTACCGGGAACATTATTTGCATATACTTCCTTATTGTTTGAGCTTAATGGTGAGCTTGGATGCTTTTATTGACACACAGGGGGCCATCATTCATTTATTTCATATTTTCTGATATAAAAAAATGATTTTTTTTTATATCAGAAATTCGAATTATTGATATCACATAATCAGTTTTTGATATCAGGAAATCTATTTCTTGATATGATATCAAAAAATATTCTTGAATATTTTTTTGATACCAAAAATTCGAATTCCTTATATCAAAAATTCGATTTCCTGATATCAATAAATGAATTTTTGATATAAAAAAATAAGAAATAAATAGTAAAACGGCGCCTCATATGTTTCGGCCTCAAAGGTGGACTAATATGTAAACAAAAATGCATCCCACCCTAATTAATGAAACAATGAGAGACAACATCCACATGACCAATTTCTCTTTTTTGACTGAAAAAGAAGCAGCCAGCAAATTGTAGACACAACTTATATTGCACAATTGTGTAATAGATGCAAACATTTGAGATAATATAATTCTGGTGACAAGGTATATCTTAAAGATGGACTATCAGACAGGTATCGATCCATTAAAATTATTTCTGAGACATTATTTTTCTTAATGCTGCTCTTCTGTATGTTGCGGACCACAACTTATTTAACCTCCTATTTCTAGGAATATAATTGGTTTAAAGCAACATCGTGGAGACCCTGTATATTTAATATGGGGTTAGTGGGCGTGTTTCATTTTAATAGTGGGTAAGTAGCAGTGTTTCGTGGCTGTCTGTACCTGTGAAAAACTTATATCAAACGTATTATTCCACTGTTTAAACATATTGATAGTTTAATCAATATTTGATTGGTTGAGGCTATCCCACGTGTCATTGAATAAATCTTCATATTCCATTCTGAGGATCATATTCCCCTCTGAATGTCGGGATTACTTCGTGCGACGTTACGCGCGGTTAATGTACATAACGTTTTGAACTTCTTATTCTTCTTAAAATAGCGATAGCAAAAATCATTATCAGGTTCAAATTTATTTCAGACGATAAAACAAAAAGACTTATAATTAAATTTTGATCCTTACTGTTTATCAATGGGTATGTCGTGTTTAGTTTGACTTACAAAAACAAGCGGATAAGATAAAAAATGTATGCAAAATAATATTTAATGTATTGATACTAGTAAACAAAGCATAGGCAGTGGAATAAAACATTCATTTCCCTTTGCCTCGGGAGATATGAAGATTTGCTCACCCTCGAAAAATCATATTTCCCTCGGGCAGAGCCCTCGTGAAATATGAATATTCTTGGGTGAACAAATCTTCATATCTCCCTCCGGCACGGGAAATAAATGTATAATAGCACATCTTAAATTTTTACGTTGATGTTGTTAACTGAACCCGGAAATTACGATACGATCCGGGTAAACTTATCAATCCTTTAAATAAACTTATTCCAAAAAGGTTACAAATTTAACACTGTAAATAAATCTTTGAATATGGTTTTTATTGGTATGAATATTGATTTTGTTATCAGTAAATTAAATTCTTCTTATGTTATGCTGTTACACCACTGTCCAAGGTTAGGGAGAGGGTTGAGCTCACACAAACATGTTTAACCCCGCCACATTCTTTATGTGCCTGTCCCAAGTCAGGATCCTGTAGTTCAGTGGTTGTCGTTGATTCATGTCTGTCATATTTGTTTTTCGTAGTTTTCTCAATTGAATTGATTTTCATAGTGTTCATGTCGGGGCCTTTTATAGCCGATTATACGGTATGGGTTTTTCTCATTGTTGAAGGCCGTACGGTTGCCTATATTTGCTTACATCCACTTCATTTGAACTTGGGGGAATAGTTGTCTCATTGGCAATTATACCACATCTCCTAATTTTATATTAGTAGCAGCGTTACGCCCCTTTGTAAAAAAAAACATGACGTTGAAGAAAAATCTGAAACATTTCGCCCAAACAATAGATGAAGAAATTAATGATGAACGACTGACAATAAATGCAGAAAACACATTAAAGCTAACAAGTGGTTATTGTTGGCATTTGTTTTTGTATAGACCAGTGGAATTAGGTTCTTAATATTGAAGATGTGACCACTTTAATAGGCCACTAGTCTAAATGCCACATGTTAAGATAGTCGATAAGATAAATTCGTTACACAGTGGGCTAGTGACCTAATATGATATATAACGGGTCAGTAAATTCCGTATGGGATTCGAACGAACCCATATGGAATTCACTGACCCCATAAAAATCGTATTAGGTCACTAGCACACTGTATAACTAATAAAAAAACTTCACTGGTTTACAATTATACAAGTCCTGTTATCTATATTTTAATCGGCTCTTGTGCAAAATTATGGTGATTTAGCAGTGTCTTCAACTGACCGCAATGTCTTTGCCAAATACACCGTCTTTGTTCAGTTAGATGAGACGCTGGTTGTCGCATTGAAATTTCACTCAGGTAGAACGTTTCTGTTTTTACTGTTAATAGATATAGGAAGATGTGGTATGAGTGCCAATGAGACAACTCTCCATCCAAGTTACAATTTATAAAAGTAAACCATTATAGGTCAAGGTACGGCCTTCAACACGGAGCATTGGCTCACACCGAACAGCAAGCTATAAAGGGCCCCAAAAAATTACTAGTGTAAAAACGTTCAAACGGAAAAACCAACGGTCTAATCTATATGAAAACGAGAAACAAGAAACACGTATGAACTACATAAACAGACGACAACTACTGTAATCAGATTCCTGACTTAGGACAGGTGCAAACATTTGCAGCGGAATTAAACGTTTTAATGGTACCAAACCTTCTCCCTTTTCTGAAACAATAGTATAACATCACAACATAGAAAAACACACTATAAAATATCAATTGGAAGGCTTAACTTAATCAAAAAACGTAAATTAACACACAATGAACGAATAAATTTGACCTGTGACACCTGAATGCAAATACACAGTTAATAAAAAATTACAAGGGATAAATAATTAAAGTCAAAAGTAAATAAACAGGTTTAAACAAAGTTAAAGTATGATATCACTGTGAAATTTCAAACAATTTATAGAAAATCATCACTTTTGAAGAAACCTGCGTCATATTATACACAGGTAAATGAAAATAATTTTGTTGTTAAGTATACTTCTTCTTCTGTGTGTATAAAATCTTCCGTTTAGGAATACTAAGAAATTTCTTTAATATCAATAAAACTAATCTAACACTTGGTACATATGGGGTGAATATCAACAATAAAAATAAGACTTGTTTCATTAAAGAAGAAATCTGCCCAGTTTATTATATATTCCACCACTGCATCAAGTATGTTCGTTACGATATTTCTCCACTCGGGACTGTGAAATTTTACTATAACGTCTAACATTCTATAGTAGTGTCTTGTTTGATTGATTGGTATCTTGTGTAGCATTCTGTTGATCCGTTTAAACTTCAATTATTATTTCTCAGGCCTTTGAACTCCATTATGGTTTTTGTTATAGTTGTGACTCGTAATATTGCTAACCGAAAAATATTTTAGAGATCAGACAGTTTGTCAAGTTCAGGAAGTGATAACAGATATCAGGTATATGTGTGCTAAAACAATAGCAAAATGTATCTGGAGAGCAGCTCTGAACTAACATGTTCATTAACATCAGTTATATATGTGTGCTAACACAATAGCAAAATATATCTGGAGTGCAGCTCTGAACTAACATGTACACAAACATCAGGTATATTTGTACCAAAATATAATAGCAAAATATGTCTGGAGTGCAACTCTTAACTAACTTGTACACAAACATCAGGTATATGTGTGCCAAAATATGGCAATTTTTTTCTGGAGTGCAGCTCTGAACTATAACATGTGCAAACCTGATTCTTTTCACTTAATCGATATACGTTACTCTGAGACTGTCTTAGCTTGTGTTATATGCTTGGCTGTTTACGTTATCCTTGGGTTTATTATTTTGTAGCATATAATATCAGGAAAAACTTACGAATTATTTATAAATGATGTCTTGTTTGTTTTCATTCATTTGTCATAACAAAAATAATAACCGTTATTATAACGGATCACGTTTGACAGTATTCAAAATTAACTCTTATTAAGCATGTATTTTTGTACAGTCAATTGCCAAAACCTGCAACTTGTTGATAAATGATTACACTTATCTTAAATACTAATACATCTTCAGTTATGATACATCTTTACAGATTTACAATGGTTAACATCATGTTTCAGGTCCTTTGGTTATTCTAATAGCAAGTGTTGCGTTAAGACATTAAAATCTACAAGCGTTATGTTTATTAGTAACGGGGTACATATGTGGGTGATCTCACAATTTTTATGAAATATTGCACACAATTAACACAAAAAGTCATGCGCCACTTCATATCAATATCGAAAAAATAATGAACGTAAAAATAATGAACGTAACTTTTATACTTTTATTTCGATACTGCAAATTGAATAGCATGCATGCTTGTAAATCGATGGCTTGTTGATTGCGTAACGTCCAAAGGACAAATATTTTAAGCATGCTCAATTCACAGAGAAAACCCTTGTGTAAAGTGGTTGAAATATCCAGTGACATATATTTCTTAAATATCTTTTCTGACACGATAATTGATACCCCACAAAAAAGACCGGACAGGAACCATTTAAATACACCAGGCAGGAAATGAAGAAGTAAACGAGGACCTGGTCGCCCTTTAAAATGTTTTTGGTACGTCCAACTTATCTATCTGTATCTATAATTTGGTATTTCTAGTTTAACAATATTAGATGAAAAAGTTGTTAGGCCCTGTATGGTTTGGGTCACCATAGGTAAATGAAGACCGCCCGGGTTTATGTTTGTTAAGTTGTTGTACAAATCAAGGAAATGTGCAAGATTGCAAATGAGACTACTTTCGAATAGAGTCCAAATGATGTAAATTTGAGCAACTATAGGTCACAGTACGATCTTCAGCAATGGTCAAAACCCATACCGTTTAGACAGATATAAAAGACCCCGAAATGACAAAATGTGAAACAAATCAAACGTTAAAACCAACGGTATGATTTATAATAAACAAAACAATAAGCGAAACAAATAAGACGAACAACCACTGAATTACAGGCTCCTGACTTGGGACAGACACATATTGTCAGAATGTGATGGGGTTAAAACATGTTTGTTAGCACTCAATTCCTACTAACCTGGGACAGTGGATAAGAATAAACTGTAAAAACAGTATGAAATGTCTGCATATGTGTCTGCATATCACTCAGATATATAGGAAATTGCTTGGTCATTGCTTTATTCTATTATTATTTACTTGTCCAAGGAGGCGGAACCAGGCAGTGCAATAACAACTTCTGAGATCGAATTGAATGCATTGGTCTAAGCTCCTCCCATATGACAAGCGGTAAACTGCGGGATAGGATAGTCCTGTTGATGCACTCGATCATCAATAACAGAAGTTAAGTCACATGAAGATCAAAGGAAAAATTACCATTCGTGCTACACCTTTAAATATAAGTAAAAAAGCTACATACCTCATTTTTCGATATTCATATTAATTCTATCATGGATACAAATTTCATACAAATCCGTTTTTGTTACGAGTTTTCCCATTGTATAATTAGTTGTTTGACGATAATGAATCATCTGTCGTAAAATCTCAAGCTTCCTCGGAACGAGTCCATAATACAAAATCCTATAAAGATACCATCTACTGTCTGATCGTTATTGTATATATGTACCGAACCTTGGCTAAATCGTACAGATAATGCATATATATATATTATTGACATAATTTATATCTTTTGTTACAATTGGAATTCATTTTCAGTTTACAGTGTTGCACAGGGTGGAGTTCAAATGAAATTGTTGTCAGATTTGAAGAAAAAACAAATTGAGCATTTTCAATTCTACTTGTAAAAACTAGTTACTTAATTACATGTTTATGACAATTCTTTATTTCTACATTATCCTAATATAAATGATCAACAATGCCTTTTTCTTGCCATCTTTAGTTTTACAGTATCTAAATATATTGTTTTTCTGGTCCAACTCCATTTTGCCATTATCTAAAATCTGTAAAAGATGTCCTTTTCTGCTTATTCTTTGTTTTTCATTATTACCTGTTATAATTTGGTTTTTTTTAAACTTCAGAACATGCCAGGAGCCTCCTTTAATCCTGTAGACACGTCTCCTATTGTAAGTGTCATCTGTCAAATACATTTAGGATTTTCTATACTTAAATTATAAAAGAATGAACCCTATTCTTTATAAGTACTATATATCATTTTTCGGAAAAAAATAAATTATAATACACTATACCGTTTTACATTACAAAAACTTTTTTTTTTTAAATTGCTATCAAATTCCATTACATATCTGCATAAAACTGAAGATTTACATTCAATCAAAGTTACACTGATGGGATTACTGGCGAGACGAGAACAATAGACAAAAATCTGCAAGCGATTAACTACATGAAAATATCAGTAATATTTTTCTTTCGTACCCACGCTAATAAAAAAAGCTTAATTGGAACCATATAATAATTTCTTTTTAATAATTATCTGTTAGAGTATATTGTGTGAATGATACATTGAAATCCATGGTGTCTTATGTTCATTATTTGTCGAGGGAATTGCATTAGAATCTTGCAACACTGATATTTTTAAGATCTTAATATTTGTTGCATATTGATAAAAGTTGAATAAATTTATATACATACAGAATCTCAATATGAAAATGACGTCAGGAGATGTGGTATGATTGCCAATGAGACAATTATCCACCAGAGTCCAAATGGAATGGATGTAAGCATCTATAGTTTATCGTACGGCGGCCTTCAATGATACTGAAGCCAAAACCGTATATAAAAGGACCCGACATGGCGAAATGTGAAACATTTTAAACGAGAAAATCAACAGCATAATTGTGTAAATTATAAACAGTTAACGAAAAACAAGTATGACAGTCAAGTTCTTCTTTACTTGTCAATTTTCCCAAATTTACCAATTTTTTACTTACTATTTTTTCGAGCTAACGTATGAAGATATTGTATTTTTGCGAAGGTATATGTGTTCAGGTTAAAAAAAGATATTTTCGTTGTTGAATTAAATGACTATCCGTTACAGTATCTTACAAATTTTCAAAACAAATTTTAGATCAGGTTGTCTTAATAATTGTACATATATTTACTGTCATTTCGATTATTTCGTATTAATTGTGTAAAACTGAACAAAGCCTTTTGAATTTGCAGTATCTGAAATTCGAATCGTTGATGCATTTTATTAGATTATTTGGCCATTTTATTTTATCTAGCCTCGTACATATACGGAGTAGTGCGTGTTCCTATGACACATCCGACTGGTAGGAAATCAATTGACGTTTAAGAATTTGTTTGCATATACATGTATATAGCAGCAGAGACATATAATACATATTATATGTCTCTGGTATAAAAATAGCAATATATTGAAAACTAATTTACACAAAAATCTTACAATACACTATATTCTTGGTTCGTTTTTTAAAGAAAAAATGCTTAAAACATCATGCTTGCTTCCACGTCATTTAAACTCTGGTGGATAATTGTTTCATTGCAATCATACCACATCTCCTTATTTTGTGTCATATTTATTGCAACTTGTATGCATAATTTATATATAATCAATAGCATCCTTGCGAAGAACGTTTCAAACAGTTTTAAGAGTTCCATTTGGAAGGGCGATAATATTTCTTGTTCGTTTTCCTACGGGTTAAGCTGCTTCTTTAGTCTTTCAGTTTTATACTTTTAAATGTATATCTAACTTGATGTATATCTAGATTTAGTTTTTCCTTTTTAAATTTGTGTGAAGGTAAATGGTGGTCCCAGTGTAGCTTTTACTGAACCAAGCACGAGTAAGAAGTATTCAGAATACAACTTTAAAGCAGAGGTAATGTATATTTATGTTATCTAGATCCATAACATCTGGCATGACACGTAAACAACATAGGATCCATAAAAACGAAAGGTATCAATATGAACTTTGAGAAAAACCTTCAACAGTAGACTAGTATCCGATGACCTGGAATCTTTGCGTACCGGTAAATTTGAATACAAAAGAAAGGACTCTTGAACCAGTTGTATTGCTTTTATTCACCATTTTGAAACCGAATATGTAATACAACTGTACAAGAAACTTTAATCAGAAAAAAAAATGGTCTCGTACGGTGACCTATAGTTGATAATTTCGGTGTCATTTGGTCTATTGTGGAGAGTTATCCATTGGCATTCATACCACATCTTCTTTTTGTATTCACATAACATTCTTGTGCTTTCTAAGATTATCAGTAATCTCGCCCAGTTGTTGTCTTAAGTGTGACCTGTTTACCTGTTAAACTCATCAAAATGCATTAAAAGAAAATAATAATAAAAAATAAAACAATTGAAAGGACTTAACCAGTACATGCACCTTCCGTAACATGTAAAATGAAGCAAGTCAAAATAGTTAAAATCATATTAAGAGTGGTCTTTGTATACGGTTTATATCTGTTACACTATTTCAGAGCTTGCCTTTCCTAGATTTCGAACGCCAGTATGCCGTGTTGTTGACCTGTTGACCAAAGATATTTCCCACTTGTCCTAACCAAAAATCCCATTCTGATTTTTCAGTTTAAGTACTATTCATAATATATGATATTAGGTTTATTAGGTATATATATGCAATTAATTTGGAAGTGACTGAAACAAATAAAAAAACCCAAATATTTGCAATAGACAATGGGGTTATGAAATAGATTTGTTTTTTTATTGACAGGACACTGATTATGGCAAAGAAGATAAGGTAAACAATCATTAGAATATTTACTGAGTTTCTGACATCGATCACAAATACCTTGCAATATACAAACACTATTTGTAGAGTCTTTTTGCATAATCTTTCTTTTCAAGCTTTCATGAACAAATTCAAGTGATTGCATAAAAAAAACAACAACATCCAAACCCCTAGCTTTAATCTTTAGTTAAAGTTTTTGATATTTTACAAAGAACATAATGTATACTTACAAAGAATTAAGGAGTACCGTATCGCCTGCTTGTGATAGTTGTGAGATAGACTGATGATATGTTGATAATGAAGATATTATTTCAAATCATATTAAGAAGAGATTAAAATCTAATAATAGATACTGAAAATAAAAAGAACTTTTGTTTCTAGGACGGCGCAAAATCAGATCGGGTAATATATTTGTTTTGTATTTTATGATTTGTTTTGCTTGGTAACGTGAACTTCTAATAGATATATCGTGAATGGTGATGGCAATTTTATTGATTTTTGTGTGTGGATTTTAAAATACTGGTATAAAATACATTATGCAAAAGTATTTGGTTCTGTCGAATTTATTGTTATACTTCTAAAGCTTGTAACCTGAAGCTGCCAATTTAAAACGAAAACATGGCAGTTAACAAAATTGATAATAAATATAATATTTGATGTGAAAAAGATGTAATTAGTTCAACATTCTTATTAATTCTGTTGGCTGAATAAATACCTATTTGATGCTTTCATCGGTAACAACAATTGACTTATTTGGAATTAACACATCTCTTATTTTTAATGAACGTTTTTCCTTTAACATGTTAGATACAAAATAACAACTCTGCTATGGTAATATCTAAAATACAGTCTTACGGTTTGTGAAAACTTAAAGAAAAAACATCTTAGAACGCAACAACAAATTCAGTATTTAGTGAAACTGGGTCGATGCCATTCTGAATGATTGCCTGTCCTTCATTATTTTGTCTGCCCAGTAGATGCTGGTTCGGTTGTGACGTCATTTACTGAACAATATGAATTTTAAAACATATTTCAATTTGTGCAACGTCGAAAAAAATATTTTTGAAATTAAAATTCATTAAGGTGGCTCGGCCCTTTAACAGTGCGCATATTTTAACGCATGTTACTAACGACGAGCGCCTTGGAAACGGTCGCTTTGAGGGGTTTTCTCAAAAATAGTTTTGACGACATTGGAACGCGGGCGTGTATGAAAGCACCCTTTCCCGATGTCAACAAACCATGCAAAACGTTCTACAAAAGCCACAAAACAGGAAATACGTACGGTCAGGACTACAGAGTGGTTTGTTCATTTTTCACATAAAAAGGACAGAATTATACATGATATATTAAAGCGTAACATTAAAAAAAAGAAAATATAAATATTGACTTGTACGACGGTATCTGGTGCGTTCGCTCCAAAAACAGTCTCACCCTAGTACACGTTCGCCCCTTGGATCCGTTCGCACCCTATTTTCATTTAAATACTGGTTGAATATATCAAAAGATGTCTTTTAGATGTATTAGTATATATATATGATAATATTTTGCCAATGACGCAATGTTTAACCGTAAACAAAGGATAGCGATGTAAACAACTGCATGTCACCTTTCGGCTTTCAAACATAAGTAAAACCCATATAGTATGCTATAGTATAAAGGCGTCGGGGTTCATCTGCACGCTATAAATAATAAATAAATACAAAATATTAAAGGGTTTATGTGCTAATAAAATGAATATTGTCCTGAGTAGAGTTGAATTTTGCACGAATTTTTTAAGAATGTAGTCAGGTCAGGTTTAGAAATTTTTGTAAGACGTTCGGACTCCTTGGGTTTTTTCCTACGATACAGGGTAAAATATTTTGCCCCATATCACCCACTTTTCTTTTGTTAGAAGACTTCAATACCTCATAAAAAGGTTATTGCCGAACTTTATGCAGATTCGAGATTTTTTTTCTAACGATTTGAGACACAAATAAAAACAATGCTAAATATAAGGTAAATGTCCGAGTCAGCCTTTTCTCGCCATTTCAAAAAAATCAAATATCTCAAAAAGCAGTTCCATAAAATTGAGAATGGAAATGAGGAATGTGTCAAAGAGACAACAACCCGACAATAGAGCAGACAACAACCGAAGGCCACCAATGGGTCTTCAATGCAGCGAGAAACTCCCGCACCCGGAGGCGTCCTTCAGCTGGCCCCTAAACAAATATGTATACTAGTTCAGTGATAATGGACGTCATACTAAACTCCAAATTATACACAGGAAACTAAAATTAAAAATGATACAAGACTAACAAAGGTCCATAACCTATTAATATTTTTAGCTTATTTTGTTCCTTAACTAATACTCTTCTGACTTTATAGTATCAGTTTTAAATTCTAGATTTTTTTTAATTTCATAACTACATCCTTAAGCGCAATAAATATTCCACGAGTATATTGTACTTTATTGTAAGGTAAAACTTTTAAAACGGAAAGAGCATATCATTTTCATAAAACAACAACGCCTAGGGAATACAACGTCGCTATATGCAATCACCTATGACATAGATACATATGCAATATAAAATATAACTAAAAGTATTAACAAGCTAACATCAAGATTTAAAAAAAATATTCATGCAAATACACTTTAATTCAAGCAGTTTAAATATTTTTGAGATACGTTTTACAATACAAGGTTGTAACAATAGCTAAATAAAGTGCAAGATAGATTACCTTATTGTCACGGTAATCAATTTACATACACTCATAGACTTGTTAAGCTTGATATAATGCAAAGTATTTACCTTTCTAAATCTTTAAATCAATCAAGTAAACGAGTTGTTTGTCAAGACATAACCTAAAAAGTGGGATAATAAAAAGGCAGGAACGATTCGAAAAACGACGACGTTTTAATTAGCATGGTTTAAACATCAAATAACTTTTCTTGTAAAGCCTCATAAGCTGGACAAACGAAAAAGAAGAAGATTTTAATCGTCTGAAAACCACATATTTATTTGATAAAATACTTAAAGTCATATGATATGTATGATACTTCAAATTAAACAATTAATATGATTTATACACCTGAAAGTTTTAGTATAAAACACGTGCACATGAACTTTCTTTTAAAAGAAAACTCTTTGTCTTATCAAAATCTTCAGGAATGTACTGCTATTGATTTGTTGCCTTCCCGTACTCTAATTTGCCGATAGCTTTTCCGTATGCAGTGACCTTAATTAACCACACCTTACGTTAGTACTTCGGCAACCGCACAGCGCATGTGCGAAGAAAAACCGTGATGAAAGAAAGGGTAAACAAACTTGGAAGTTAGATAGAGAAAGGGTAAACAAACTTGGAAGTTAGATAGAGAAAGGGTAAACAAACGTGGAAGTTAGATAGAGAAAGGGTAAACAAACTTGGAAGTTAGATAGATAGAGAAAGGGTAAACAAACGTGGAAGTTAGATAGAGAAAGGGTAAACAAACCACGGTGGAAGTTAGATAGAGAAAGGGTAAACAAACTTGGAAGTTAGATAGAGAAAGGGTAAACAAACTTGGAAGTTAGATAGAGAAAGGGTAAACAAACGTGGAAGTTAGATAGAGAAAGGGTAAACAAACTTGGAAGTGAGATAGAGAAAGGGTAAACAAACGTGGAAGTTAGATAGAGAAAGGGTAAACAAACTTGGAAGTTAGATAGAGAAAGGGTAAACAAACTTGGAAGTTAGATAGAGAAAGGGTAAACAAACTTGGAAGTTAGATAGAGAAAGGGTAAACAAACTTGGAAGTTAGATAGAGAAAGGGTAAACAAACTTGGAAGTTAGATAGAGAAAGGGTAAACAAACTTGTTAGATAGAGAAAGGGTAAACAAACTTGGAAGTTAGATAGAGAAAGGGTAAACAAACTTGGAAGTTAGAAAGAGAAAGGGTAAACAAACTTGGAAGTTAGATAGAGAAAGGGTAAACAAACTTGGAAGTTAGATAGAGAAAGGGTAAACAAACTTGTTAGATAGAGAAAGGGTAAACAAACTTGGAAGTTAGATAGAGAAAGGGTAAACAAACTTGGAAGTTAGATAGAGAAAGGGTAAACAAACTTGGAAGTTAGATAGAGAAAGGGTAAACAAACTTGGAAGTTAGAGAAAGGGTAAACAAACGTGGAAGTTAGATAGAGAAAGGGTAAACAAACTTTGAAGTTAAATAGAGAAAGGGTAAACAAACGTGGAAGTTAGATAGAGAAAGGGTAAACAACTTGGAAGTTAGATATAGAAAGGGTAAACAACTTGGAAGTTAGATAGAGAAAGGGTAAACAAACTTGGAAGTTAGATAGAGAAAGGGTAAACAAACATGGAAGTTAGATAGAGAAAGGGTAAACAACTTGGAAGTTAGATAGAGAAAGGGTAAACAAACTTGGAAGTTAGATAGAGAAAGGGTAAACAAACTTGGAAGTTAGATAGAGAAAGGGTAAACAAACTTGGAAGTTAGATAGAGAAAGGGTAAACAACCTTGGAAGTTAGATAGAGAAAGGGTAAACAAACGTGGAAGTTAGATAGAGAAAGGGTAAACAAACGTGGAAGTTAGATAGAGAAAGGGTAAACACCTTGGAAGTTAGATAGAGAAAGGGTAAACAAACTTGGAAGTTAGATAGAGAAAGGGTAAACAAACGTGGAAGTTAGATAGAGAAAGGGTAAACAAACTTGGAAGTTAGATAGAGAAAGGGTAAACAAACTTGGAAGTTAGATAGAGAAAGGGTAAACAAACTTGGAAGTTAGATAGAGAAAGGGTAAACAAACTTGGAAGTTAGATAGAGAAAGGGTAAACAAACTTGGAAGTTAGATAGAGAAAGGGTAAACAACCTTGGAAGTTAGATAGAGAAAGGGTAAACAAACGTGGCAGTTAGATAGAGAAAGGGTAAGCAAACGTGGAAGTTAGATAGAGAAAGGGTAAACACCTTGGAAGTTAGATAGAGAAAGGGTAAACAAACTTGGAAGTTAGATAGAGAAAGGGTAAACAAACTTGGAAGTTAGATAGAGAAAGGGTAAACAAACGTGGAAGTTAGATAGAGAAAGGGTAAACAAACGTGGAAGTTAGATAGAGAAAGGGTAAACAAACGTGGAAGTTAGATAGAGAAAGGGTAAACAAACGTGGAAGTTAGATAGAGAAAGGGTAAACAAACTTGGAAGTTAGATAGAGAAAGGGTAAACAAACGTGGAAGTTAGATAGAGAAAGGATAAACAACTTGGAAGTTAGATAGAGAAAGGGTAAACAAACTTGGAAGTTAGATAGAGAAAGGGTAAACAAACTTGGAAGTTAGATAGAGAAAGGGTAAATAAACGTGGAAGTTAGATAGAGAAAGGGTAAACAAACGTGGAAGTTAGATAGAGAAAGGGTAAACAAACTTGGAAGTTAGATAGAGAAAGGGTAAACAAACTTGGAAGTTAGATAGAGAAAGGGTAAACAAACTTGGAAGTTAGATAGAGAAAGGGTAAACAAACTTGGAAGTTAGATAGAGAAAGGGTAAACAAACTTGGAAGTTAGACAGAGAAAGGGTAAACAAACTTGTTAGATAGAGAAAGGGTAAACAAACTTGGAAGTTAGATAAAGAAAGGGTAAACAAACTTGGAAGTTAGAAAGAGAAAGGGTAAACAAACTTGGAAGTTAGATAGAGAAAGGGTAAACAAACTTGGAAGTTAGATAGAGAAAGGGTAAACAAACTTGTTAGATAGAGAAAGGGTAAACAAACTTGGAAGTTAGATAGAGAAAGGGTAAACAAACTTGGAAGTTAGATAGAGAAAGGGTAAACAAACGTGGAAGTTAGATAGAGAAAGGGTAAACAAACTTGGAAGTTAGAGAAAGGGTAAACAAACGTGGAAGTTAGATAGAGAAAGGGTAAACAAACTTTGAAGTTAAATAGAGAAAGGGTAAACAAACGTGGAAGTTAGATAGAGAAAGGGTAAACAACTTGGAAGTTAGATATAGAAAGGGTAAACAACTTGGAAGTTAGATAGAGAAAGGGTAAACAAACTTGGAAGTTAGATAGAGAAAGGGTAAACAAACATGGAAGTTAGATAGAGAAAGGGTAAACAACTTGGAAGTTAGATAGAGAAAGGGTAAACAAACTTGGAAGTTAGATAGAGAAAGGGTAAACAAACTTGGAAGTTAGATAGAGAAAGGGTAAACAAACTTGGAAGTTAGATAGAGAAAGGGTAAATAACCTTGGAAGTTAGATAGAGAAAGGGTAAACAAACGTGGAAGTTAGATAGAGAAAGGGTAAACAAACGTGGAAGTTAGATAGAGAAAGGGTAAACACCTTGGAAGTTAGATAGAGAAAGGGTAAACAAACTTGGAAGTTAGATAGAGAAAGGGTAAACAAACTTGGAAGTTAGATAGAGAAAGGGTAAACAAACTTGTTAGATAGAGAAAGGGTAAACAAACTTGGAAGTTAGATAGAGAAAGGGTAAACAAACTTGGAAGTTAGAAAGAGAAAGGGTAAACAAACTTGGAAGTTAGATAGAGAAAGGGTAAACAAACTTGGAAGTTAGATAGAGAAAGGGTAAACAAACTTGTTAGATAGAGAAAGGGTAAACAAACTTGGAAGTTAGATAGAGAAAGGGTAAACAAACTTGGAAGTTAGATAGAGAAAGGGTAAACAAACGTGGAAGTTAGATAGAGAAAGGGTAAACAAACTTGGAAGTTAGAGAAAGGGTAAACAAACGTGGAAGTTAGATAGAGAAAGGGTAAACAAACTTTGAAGTTAAATAGAGAAAGGGTAAACAAACGTGGAAGTTAGATAGAGAAAGGGTAAACAACTTGGAAGTTAGATATAGAAAGGGTAAACAACTTGGAAGTTAGATAGAGAAAGGGTAAACAAACTTGGAAGTTATATAGAGAAAGGGTAAACAAACATGGAAGTTAGATAGAGAAAGGGTAAACAACTTGGAAGTTAGATAGAGAAAGGGTAAACAAACTTGGAAGTTAGATAGAGAAAGGGTAAACAAACTTGGAAGTTAGATAGAGAAAGGGTAAACAAACTTGGAAGTTAGATAGAGAAAGGGTAAACAACCTTGGAAGTTAGATAGAGAAAGGGTAAACAAACGTGGAAGTTAGATAGAGAAAGGGTAAACAAACGTGGAAGTTAGATAGAGAAAGGGTAAACACCTTGGAAGTTAGATAGAGAAAGGGTAAACAAACTTGGAAGTTAGATAGAGAAAGGGTAAACAAACGTGGAAGTTAGACAGAGAAAGGGTAAACAAACTTGGAAGTTAGATAGAGAAAGGGTAAACAAACTTGGAAGTTAGATAGAGAAAGGGTAAACAAACTTGGAAGTTAGATAGAGAAAGGGTAAACAAACTTGGAAGTTAGATAGAGAAAGGGTAAACAAACTTGGAAGTTAGATAGAGAAAGGGTAAACAAACTTGGAAGTTAGATAGAGAAAGGGTAAACAAACGTGGCAGTTAGATAGAGAAAGGGTAAACAAACGTGGAAGTTAGATAGAGAAAGGGTAAACACCTTGGAAGTTAGATAGAGAAAGGGTAAACAAACTTGGAAGTTAGATAGAGAAAGGGTAAACAAACTTGGAAGTTAGATAGAGAAAGGGTAAACAAACGTGGAAGTTAGATAGAGAAAGGGTAAACAAACGTGGAAGTTAGATAGAGAAAGGGTAAACAAACGTGGAAGTTAGATAGAGAAAGGGTAAACAAACGTGGAAGTTAGATAGAGAAAGGGTAAACAAACTTGGAAGTTAGATAGAGAAAGGGTAAACAAACGTGGAAGTTAGATAGAGAAAGGATAAACAACTTGGAAGTTAGATAGAGAAAGGGTAAACAAACTTGGAAGTTAGATAGAGAAAGGGTAAACAAACTTGGAAGTTAGATAGAGAAAGGGTAAATAAACGTGGAAGTTAGATAGAGAAAGGGTAAACAAACGTGGAAGTTAGATAGAGAAAGGGTAAACAAACTTGGAAGTTAGATAGAGAAAGGGTAAACAAACTTGGAAGTTAGATAGAGAAAGGGTAAATAACTTGGAAGTTAGATAGAGAAAGGGTAAACAAACGTGGAAGTTAGATAGAGAAAGGGTAAACAAACTTGGAAGTTAGATAGAGAAAGGGTAAACAAACTTGGAAGTTAGATAGAGAAACAACCTTGGAAGTTAGATAGAGAAAGGGTAAACAAACGTGGAAGTTAGATAGAGAAAGGGTAAACACCTTGGAAGTTAGATAGAGAAAGGGTAAACAAACTTGGAAGTTAGATAGAGAAAGGGTAAACAAACTTGGAAGTTAGATAGAGAAAGGGTAAACAAACGTGGAAGTTAGATAGAGAAAGGGTAAACAAACGTGGAAGTTAGATAGAGAAAGGGTAAACAAACGTGGAAGTTAGATAGAGAAAGGGTAAACACCTTGGAAGTTAGATAGAGAAAGGGTAAACAAACGTGGAAGTTAGATAGAGAAAGGGTAAACAAACGTGGGTTAGATAGAGAAAGGGTAAACAAACTTGGAAGTTAGATAGAGATAGGGTAAACAAACTTGGAAGTTAGATAGAGAAAGGGTAAACAAACGTGGAAGTTAGATAGAGAAAGGGTAAACAAACGTGGAAGTTAGATAGAGAAAGGGTAAACAAACGTGGAAGTTAGATAGAGAAAGGGTAATGGAAGTTAGATAGAGAAAGGGTAAACAAACGTGGAAGTTAGATAGAGAAAGGGTAAACAAACTTGGAAGTTAGATAGAGAAAGGGTAAACAAACTTGGAAGTTGGATAGAGAAAGGGTAAACAAACTTGGAAGTTAGATAGAGAAAAGGTAAACACACGTGGAAGTTAGATAGAGAAAGGGTAAACAAACTTGGAAGTTAGATTGAGAAAGGGTAAACAAACTTGGAAGTTAGATAGAGAAAGGGTAAACAAACTTGGAAGTTAGATAGAGAAAAGGTAAACAAACGTGGAAGTTAGATAGAGAAAGGGTAAACAAACTTGGAAGTTAGATAGAGAAAGGGTAAACAAACGTGGAAGTTAGATAGAGAAAGGGTAAACAAACGTGGAAGTTAGATAGAGAAAGGGTCAACAAACGTGGAAGTTAGATAGAGAAAGGGTAAACAAACTTGGAAGTTAGATAGAGAAAGGGTAAACACCTTGGAAGTTAGATAGAGAAAGGGTAAACAAACTTGGAAGTTAGATAGAGAAAGGGTAAACAAACTTGGAAGTTAGATAGAGAAAGGGTAAACAAACTTGTTAGATAGAGAAAGGGTAAACAAACTTGGAAGTTAGATAGAGAAAGGGTAAACAAACTTGGAAGTTAGAAAGAGAAAGGGTAAACAAACTTGTTAGATAGAGAAAGGGTAAACAAACTTGGAAGTTAGATAGAGAAAGGGTAAACAAACTTGGAAGTTAGAAAGAGAAAGGGTAAACAAACTTGGAAGTTAGATAGAGAAAGGGTAAACAAACTTGGAAGTTAGATAGAGAAAGGGTAAACAAACTTGTTAGATAGAGAAAGGGTAAACAAACTTGGAAGTTAGATAGAGAAAGGGTAAACAAACTTGGAAGTTAGATAGAGAAAGGGTAAACAAACGTGGAAGTTAGATAGAGAAAGGGTAAACAAACTTGGAAGTTAGAGAAAGGGTAAACAAACGTGGAAGTTAGATAGAGAAAGGGTAAACAAACTTTGAAGTTAAATAGAGAAAGGGTAAACAAACGTGGAAGTTAGATAGAGAAAGGGTAAACAACTTGGAAGTTAGATATAGAAAGGGTAAACAACTTGGAAGTTAGATAGAGAAAGGGTAAACAAACTTGGAAGTTATATAGAGAAAGGGTAAACAAACATGGAAGTTAGATAGAGAAAGGGTAAACAACTTGGAAGTTAGATAGAGAAAGGGTAAACAAACTTGGAAGTTAGATAGAGAAAGGGTAAACAAACTTGGAAGTTAGATAGAGAAAGGGTAAACAAACTTGGAAGTTAGATAGAGAAAGGGTAAACAACCTTGGAAGTTAGATAGAGAAAGGGTAAACAAACGTGGAAGTTAGATAGAGAAAGGGTAAACAAACGTGGAAGTTAGATAGAGAAAGGGTAAACACCTTGGAAGTTAGATAGAGAAAGGGTAAACAAACTTGGAAGTTAGATAGAGAAAGGGTAAACAAACGTGGAAGTTAGACAGAGAAAGGGTAAACAAACTTGGAAGTTAGATAGAGAAAGGGTAAACAAACTTGGAAGTTAGATAGAGAAAGGGTAAACAAACTTGGAAGTTAGATAGAGAAAGGGTAAACAAACTTGGAAGTTAGATAGAGAAAGGGTAAACAAACTTGGAAGTTAGATAGAGAAAGGGTAAACAAACTTGGAAGTTAGATAGAGAAAGGGTAAACAAACGTGGCAGTTAGATAGAGAAAGGGTAAACAAACGTGGAAGTTAGATAGAGAAAGGGTAAACACCTTGGAAGTTAGATAGAGAAAGGGTAAACAAACTTGGAAGTTAGATAGAGAAAGGGTAAACAAACTTGGAAGTTAGATAGAGAAAGGGTAAACAAACGTGGAAGTTAGATAGAGAAAGGGTAAACAAACGTGGAAGTTAGATAGAGAAAGGGTAAACAAACGTGGAAGTTAGATAGAGAAAGGGTAAACAAACGTGGAAGTTAGATAGAGAAAGGGTAAACAAACTTGGAAGTTAGATAGAGAAAGGGTAAACAAACGTGGAAGTTAGATAGAGAAAGGATAAACAACTTGGAAGTTAGATAGAGAAAGGGTAAACAAACTTGGAAGTTAGATAGAGAAAGGGTAAACAAACTTGGAAGTTAGATAGAGAAAGGGTAAATAAACGTGGAAGTTAGATAGAGAAAGGGTAAACAAACGTGGAAGTTAGATAGAGAAAGGGTAAACAAACTTGGAAGTTAGATAGAGAAAGGGTAAACAAACTTGGAAGTTAGATAGAGAAAGGGTAAATAACTTGGAAGTTAGATAGAGAAAGGGTAAACAAACGTGGAAGTTAGATAGAGAAAGGGTAAACAAACTTGGAAGTTAGATAGAGAAAGGGTAAACAAACTTGGAAGTTAGATAGAGAAACAACCTTGGAAGTTAGATAGAGAAAGGGTAAACAAACGTGGAAGTTAGATAGAGAAAGGGTAAACACCTTGGAAGTTAGATAGAGAAAGGGTAAACAAACTTGGAAGTTAGATAGAGAAAGGGTAAACAAACTTGGAAGTTAGATAGAGAAAGGGTAAACAAACGTGGAAGTTAGATAGAGAAAGGGTAAACAAACGTGGAAGTTAGATAGAGAAAGGGTAAACAAACGTGGAAGTTAGATAGAGAAAGGGTAAACACCTTGGAAGTTAGATAGAGAAAGGGTAAACAAACGTGGAAGTTAGATAGAGAAAGGGTAAACAAACGTGGGTTAGATAGAGAAAGGGTAAACAAACTTGGAAGTTAGATAGAGATAGGGTAAACAAACTTGGAAGTTAGATAGAGAAAGGGTAAACAAACGTGGAAGTTAGATAGAGAAAGGGTAAACAAACGTGGAAGTTAGATAGAGAAAGGGTAAACAAACGTGGAAGTTAGATAGAGAAAGGGTAATGGAAGTTAGATAGAGAAAGGGTAAACAAACGTGGAAGTTAGATAGAGAAAGGGTAAACAAACTTGGAAGTTAGATAGAGAAAGGGTAAACAAACTTGGAAGTTGGATAGAGAAAGGGTAAACAAACTTGGAAGTTAGATAGAGAAAAGGTAAACACACGTGGAAGTTAGATAGAGAAAGGGTAAACAAACTTGGAAGTTAGATTGAGAAAGGGTAAACAAACTTGGAAGTTAGATAGAGAAAGGGTAAACAAACTTGGAAGTTAGATAGAGAAAAGGTAAACAAACGTGGAAGTTAGATAGAGAAAGGGTAAACAAACTTGGAAGTTAGATAGAGAAAGGGTAAACAAACGTGGAAGTTAGATAGAGAAAGGGTAAACAAACGTGGAAGTTAGATAGAGAAAGGGTCAACAAACGTGGAAGTTAGATAGAGAAAGGGTAAACAAACTTGGAAGGTAGATAGAGAAAGGGTAAACAAACGTGGAAGTTAGATAGAGAAAGGGTAAACAAACGTGGAAGTTAGATAGAGAAAGGGTCAACAAACGTGGAAGTTAGATAGAGAAAGGGTAAACAAACTTGGAAGTTAGATAGTGTTTATTGATTCTGAAAGAAAAATTGGAATACACCAAATAATTTGACAACTGTTATGACAAAGTTTAATTAACAAAAAGAAACGCATAAAAAAAATATTTAAAAATTAAGCATCACTCTACTGTATGTCTATCACCTCACTTGTATTTTCACGTGCTCCATGATTCGTTCACGTTAGGTACACTAGGCAATAAAACATGACAGTTAATTAGTAGGGAAAGTTTTCACTGAATGAAACATGTTTTGTCGATTATATGTTATGGATTCGTAGTAATTGTAAAAAATCGTGCATAGAGGACTTAGTTTGGTGTATACACATGCACACTCGTTTCATAAGACTTTAACATTTTTCAATTTCCGATCGCCAACATTCTCGGTACCACTTTTACTGCACCAGATGCACATTTCGAAAATTAACAGAGGCCTATCCAGGATTGATATATTTTCATATCAAAGAGGAGGGGAGGCGTACGTACTCTACGCCTCACTGAATCCACCACTGATTAATGTACCTTCATGCAGTGATGATAGAGGCCAAAATATTTGAAAATTCAAAACATTATACATTATACAAACTTTGAAGAGCTGATAAAACGAAAAAGAACCAATATTAAGTAATCATGTTATTTATTTACTTTCTATTCCAGTATGTGTGGTTGTGCAAATTTATTACCGGTATAGTTGTGATATTAGTGGCTATTGTCGGAACAGTGTATTTCATACTGTACTACACTCATCGTAAGTGGATCAGTTCAAAGGGAAAGACGATGCTACCATACCCCCCTCCCCCCAAAAAAAATATATACAACAAAAAATACAAAAAAAAAACCAAACAAACAAACAAACAAACAAAATAAGATACATAAAAAATCAGAAAACAACAAACAAACAAAGCAGTTCACAAAAACATAAAGTTTGAGCAACAAAAACACTACTGAAGGCCAGGGGAGTTTTTTTATGTTTAGCTTTGAACGTTGAATGTAATTTTAGTAACTAAAGTCATTCTCAAAGATTATATCAAACTACGATCCAGTTCCGTGTATCACGTTCGGAACATCTCTCAACTTATTATTTTTAGTGTTCTGATGAAAACTTTGTTTCACTTGTTATATTATACACAGATAAAAATACACCGGTACACAACTTTTTACTTGAATTTATCGTGATATATAATAAATATGAAAAGAACTGTTTAATTATCCAGTAAAAAACGTTTAATTGCAAAGCGAATGCATATAACTCAGAAAATCTTACCGAGTTGGAAAGTGAGAAAATATTGTGCTATTTAAAGAAAGGAGTCATTTTATTTGACGGAAAATGATGTCAAAAATTGGCACCAAACTTCAGAGATTAGAATTAAGTATACAAATATCTACAAAGGGAATTCAAATGTTGATCGAACCATGTTCATGTTTCAAATTTTAAGCTCAAATAATGGTGTTATTTCGGACGAAAATAATTTCGAAATCAATTAATAACAAAATCCATATGAGTACAGATAAAGAAAATATTCAAAGATCTTAACACAGTGAAAAATTGATAACCTTTAAGTGTAAGTTTATTCAAAGGAACAATAAGTTTACATTGATCGTATCTAAACTTACTGACTCTATAAACAATATCACAGAACAAGAACAGCAAAACTTCAAAAACAAAATCTTGTATCTATGAAAGTATATAGTAAAGTTTTCAAGTTATGAGTGGTAACGAAATCCCTGCCTTAATAATGTACCATCTAAACCGTCACCACAATTATTGGCATAGCGAACGACTTGGGAAATACACAGGCTACATGAAATGGCATAAGGAACACCCCCGTCCTAAACAAGGAAAATTAAAAAAAGGAACGAAAAGTCGCCACTTTTGTTCTAACTTTTTTATTATTTCCGGTGTGAAACTGACACATTTAAGTTCTTTTCCGTGGTGCTTGTGATCAGACTGTATACAAATATAAAACCTATATAACACAAAATGTAAAAAGCAGATACCAGTATAAGCGAAAAGGATCAAAAGTATAGCGTAAGCAAAACAAAGAATAGAGCTATGAATGAGGGAGATACATTCCACAATTTCAGATAATTTCCTATGTTTTGTAACAGCAAATTTCAATGAAACAATATCCGTATTTTCATGTCAGTAAAAGTAAAAGTACTGAGCTACTGGGATGGTGACACCCTTGAGGATAACAGTCCACCAGCAGAAGCATCGACCAAGTGGTAGTAATAACATGAAAAAGTACACATTTTACTCCACCAGATGCTCATTTCTAGAATAAAAGTCTCTTCAGCAATGCTCGAGGCCAAAATGTATGATAATACAAAACGTAATACAAAAGTTGAAGAGCAGATATGATCGAACAGGACAGAAAGTAAAGCCAAAGCCGAACAAAGAATCAGATCTAAGCATGACGGAGATACATCCCTTAATTTGAAAAAAAAATCATAAGTTTAATAAAAGCAAATTTCAAATAAACAATATCCTTTTTTTCATGCCATTATTGAAGTACTGAGCTACTGAGCTGGTGATACTCTCTGGGACTTACAGTCCACTAGCAGAGTTATCGAACATGACACCGCCAAATTTATTCGTGGGAGTTGTCCCTATTTCTTTGCATTCTTCACTTTATTTCACTTTTACAATCGAAGATTTTGTAGAAACAAACTTTTATATTTCCGTAAAGAGTCCATTTATTCTTAAACTCTAATAATCCGTTTTAAATGGCACCACATACAATTACAAGTAAGGCAAACAACCAAAATATTTTTAAAAGTGTTTCCATTTCTCTCATGCCTAAAAAGGTGGTCAGTTCCATCTCTCCAGAGAAGGGGTCGGATCGTAACCCTTGGCCAGCGAAGATGAAAGAAATTCTGCATGCTCCACTTGGGCGTATCTTAGAAGAATTGAATATTCCTAGCACGCTGCTTAAATGTGTATCGTCATGCTTAGATCTGATTCTTTGTTTCGCTGCATTGAAGACCTGTTGGTGACCTTCGGCTGTTGTCTGTTCTATGGTCGGGTTGTTGTCTCTTTGACACATTCCCCATTTCCATTCTCAATTTTAGTATAGTTAAATCCACTACAACACAATACAGACGATGGCGAAGCTATATAACGTTTTTGGCATCAAATAATTTGGTCAGAAAAAGGTTTCTGTTAGGCAACCAACATTTTAATCTTTGTATTGCTTACTTGTCGTATTACTATCGTTGTATCATTAACCTACATCTTTATAAAACATTTATGTTTTTCCTTTCAGCAAAATTACAAGAACGTGAGTAACATATATTACTGTTAACGCAAAGAGTGTTCATTTTGAATGAAAACAGCTACAAATATCTATGTGAAACATTAGAAAACAGATGTGGATATTTTCGTTAGGAAATCAACGTGTTACATCTAACATAAGCTTTCACATTTGAATTTAGTTGTCACAGTGTGGTCGTTGAAATTTGTAAACTTTTTTTTATCAAGATTTGATTGACTGATTCTATGCATACTTTCTATTGCCCACCTATTTGTTATGATGGTGGATGTGTTATTCTAACAGACGATTGGCATTCCTATTGACACTTACTGTGCCTCTCATTGTGCTGACGTATACCTTTATTCGTATGAGGCATATTCATTTAAGGGGTTCTACTGAATATCCATGAAATATTTGCCAAGAACTAAAATAAATCAGTAATGAATCAATCAGTTAAGGGTTTCTCAAAACAAATGAAATAAAAAACTAGCATTATCATTTAATTCATGGTCCGCTATAAACATGCTGTCACCTCACTGGAAAATTAAGTTTGTGTTGATCACATGTATCCCTTTAGACTTTATATTAATGATACAATAGTTCAATTTTGAAAAAAAAAAGTTCTGGCTAATGCAACATATTTAATAGGTCTAATTGGTACCTTAACATGCACTTAGAAATCGACATTGATCATTGATAGATAAATTAAGGTATGAGAAATGACTTCGATTTTCCTATGGTGAACTGCTTGACACTTCAGCAACACACACATGTTGTTAAATATACCTACCAGTTGGTTCGATATTTCAGAGCATGCATTTCTGATAAGAATTCGTTTAAAGATGGATGCTGCTTTTAAGGAAAATGGTTTTTCTCGGGTCACTTCTTGAAGGGACATTTAGCTGACGAATACTGAAATTTAGATGTCAACATACGTTCACAACAATAGACAGGTGTCTTTTCAATATTTTAAATCGTCCCAAGACTAAGAAAATTATAAATCAATTAAAAAAAACTGTCAATCAAGAAGCTAGGTTCCCAAAAAACAAAAATTATAAAGACAATCAAACACATAGCCGTGTTTAACTAGTTATTAGGGACATCGCAACCATCTCTGTTTAATTCAAATTTGTGGAATGATAAAATGCATGTAAAAGAATGTACAATTTAAATCAGTTCAGAATAAAGCTTAACCCTATTGTAATTGACACACACGTAACACATAAAACTATATTACAAAAAAACACCATTTCAAAGAATAGTTGCATTAAAATGTAGCTGATATAGAAAGTATGCCACCCCTAAATTCTCATATTTGAATCAGTAGATCTAAGCCCTTATCGTGAAACAATTACAAGTACAGCTTTGATTTACCAATGAATTATTCATTTGCAGCTCGAACAGAACGTAAGTATGGAGACTTTACATATATTCAAACTTTTCGGTACTTTTGTTTAGAACTAATTGCCAATCTTAAAGAATTAACATTTATTTAATATCTGATCTAAGTAAGTATCTATAACGATTGATTTTTATGTATTTAAAAAATATCAAAATAAGGTAGTCAATATAAATTTTATACAAAATATTTTAACTATAATCATCATAATAAAAACAGACAGATGATACCAAAATGGAAATAAAAATCATAAGTAGAAGAAAACAGACAACGCGATGGCTAAAAAGTATACAACTTAAAAACAAACAGCAGTATATAAACACTTTACTGAAAATAGATTGAGCATGCAAAACGAACAAACTACTGGGGAAGGATCTCAATTGCCCAGGAAGGGTCAGCAGATACTACTCTAATATCTGACGTTTGCCATATTACTCTTTAAAAACACGTTTAAGAGTAAAAATAACAGATAATAATGCATCATTTAATTACAGATAGGTGAATGTCTCTTGTCTAATAATTAAACATCCCCAATTTATAACTTATTGTCCCAAGAAATTTCTGTAGCCATAAACCGAATATGAAAATTTTAGATGAATACAAGGTTTTGAGGACAAAGGATAGACAAGATTGAAGAAACTGCACAAAATTTTAAAATTGAACAAAATGCAACTCTGAAAACTAAAGCAAATGCAAATCTAACCCCTTTAGGTGATCTCAGGTAATCATTTCGTAATTGAAAAATTCTTTTGTTTCAAACAATTTTCGCAATGTTTAACCTTGACGCACTTCTTTTCAAAATATTATTTCATATGTATAATGTATTCCAGCACAAGTCCTTTTAACAACAACATTACGCCCATCTGACGTAACTCCACGTAAGTATGTAATTAAACCCTCAGTAATATTCATTCACGGTTCTGTTACAATGAACGTAAGTATGTAATTAAACCCTCAGTAATATTCATTCACGGTTCTGTTACAATCACCTAACGTAACTGAACGTAAGTATGTAATTAAACCCTCAGTAATATTCATTCAGGGGTCTTTTACAATAAATTAGTATGAAGAAATAGAAGAGAAGAACAGAACAGAAACAACAGGAAAAATAAGAAAGTTAAAACTAAAATACTCCACTTCATACGAAAATGCTTCACATCGTACAATGAAGAAATGTATACTTTACAATTTTAGTATGAGTAGTGTTTAGAATAAGTCTTTAATTGAAAAGTGTCTCATAAGTCAGTCGTGGCTGGATACCGATATTTTAACTTAGATTAAAATCTTTTTTGTATTTTTATATTTATGTTATGATGTATGGTATTGTTTTATATTGGTATGTGACACTATAATTAAATATTCTGTTTGTCTGTCTGTCTGTAAATTCATTTTAAAGTTAGATTATCAACAACAACAAAATGAATTTATAACGAAAGATATATCAAAATTATAAAAATCTAACTATGGTCAAAAGTACGAGAAAACACAAAATATGTAACAGAAAGATAACGTATTGTAAGCTACAGGCATGGAAAAATCAACCATGCTATAGCAGTAAACGAACATTATGGCAGACAGTAAGAAATGACAACAACTCAATTACAGGCTCCAGAATTAGGACAAGCACATGCTAAATGATAATGGGTTAACATTTTGGCAAGGACTCAACCCTCTTCATAATACAGTGGTGTAACAACACAATACCAGAACAAAGAATAAAAATCAGTTGCATTTACTTACATTTGATAAATCATGTTTTTCAAGACTGTAATAGCGATCAGTGCACATCTATCAGATTTAGTGGAAGACGTGTTAAACAATCTGAGAAAAGCAAAACATTCCAAAATATGAATATCAACAGAATGTATAACCATAACTGTATCGTAATTATAAAAAAAGAAGATATGGTATGATTGCCAATGAGACAGCTCTCCACAAGAGACCAATTGGCACGGAAATTAACAGATATAGGTCACCATAGAAGGTGGATTGGAGCTAATCAGAACAGTTAAAATACCGACTGATGTTACCCATTTTGGAGAGTTGCAGACATGAGTATTTACATTATTTTCAAATTTCCAATCAAAGTGTATCATTTTGATTCAATACATTCCAAAGCATTTGCTGTTTGTGGAATGTTTCTAACTGGGATCGTCACAGTGGTAACGACGTAGAGCAAATATTTACAACAGCAAATGCTTTGGAATATCTATACTATTAAATGAGGAGACCTCATTTTGTGTGTCGCTTCTCTTCCTTCCACAATAAATGAATCATCATGTTTCTATGTTCTATAGGTATCATGCATAGTCGCATTTGTCATCCTTGCTTATGATTATTCAGTTTGGGTTATTTTGGGAGAAAAACAAAAATAAAGGTGTTCGTTTATTGTTTCCGTCATCGTATGAGCTTTTAAGTCATAGACAAGACTTCCGTTTAGGACTGTTTTAAAATTATACATAATTTTCATAAATACTTGGGGACAGGACAGTTATTTCGCGTTTTTATGTCAACTATGTATACGTACACTATACTAATATGATTATGCATACGTATACTATTAATAAAGTGTATTTGCTATTTACTATCAATTCCAAGTTTACTATCCACGGCAGTTACTGATATATTATATAGAGAGTCTGTATATAATATATCAGTGACCACCGTGGATATTAAACTTGGAATTGATAGTAAATAGCAAATACGCTTTATCTATAGTATAAGTATGTTCATAGTGTACAGAAAAAAACGCGAAAATAATTGAAATAAACAGAAAACAAAAAATAACGGACTTTGGAAAATTGTCCTTCCCCAAGTACCTATGACTTCTGATAACTTTCCTGAAATTCTCCAGTCATAAAATCTTTTACATAAAATTCTTCGCGGGTGTTTTCTAGTATTGAATCAAAATGATACACTTTGATGGGAAATTTATAAATAATGTAAATACCCGTAAGTCGGTCTTTTAAGTAGCATTCAAAATACAGAAATTGGAATATAATCCTGCAAAATTCAATACCTTTATGTTCTTTATATTTTTACAGACTGTTTCAGATCGCAAGAAGAAATCCATTTCAAAGATGTTTTTACAATTAATTGCATGATTCCTGTATCATACCAGCTTGATAAGTTATACATTAATTACAAACCACAGTATGGATCTTACAAATCCGATGAAGTTTTCAACTTTAGCCTTACAAAGATGGAAACTGCACATAAGGGATGGAACGTTACAGTACTAAGCAACATCGGTGATTCGTCGCCCGCACACGTCAATATTACAAGGGAACCTGTAAAGTGTGATAGTGGTGGGGAGTATACCTTTATCTTCATGGCGGCGATTAACAGTACACATGAGTTTGAAGTATCCAAACACACAGAACTCCTAACAATTGAAAGTATGTAATAACTTATATTGTTCAGTAAGCATTTTAGTTGGACACATATGTCTTGTTTTAGGAAGATATCATAGTTTTCAAAAATAATTATGATTTAAGCAAAATATTTCAGAAACTGGTCCATCAAGTTGCTTAATGTTTTTAGCGAACGCATATTTGTTATGTTGTTTTCAATAGACCTTCTGCAATCCTATAGGTATAACAGTGCTATTATTCGTTTGATGCATACCTTATTCAGGAGCTTCTCAAGAAGAATAAAAATAGTCTATCATTAATTATAAGTGTAGTGACTATTTGATTCAATCTACCTAATTGAATTTAAAATAAAGAATAGCTATTAAGGGTTGGTCCATAAATGAACTCTATAACACAATGTGTGGTTTTAAACAATGAAAACGACACGCTATAAATTTGCATGCGTCCGAAGAGCTTTTCTATATTTACTTTCAACAGGAACGCTCAAAGACGAATATTTAAAAGTAAAGGATGTTTAAAAAGTTGATGAGTTAAATGACCAAAAAGGACATACAAAGTATAGCCAAATCCATCTAAGGTCAACTTTGCCTGAGGAAGTTGTAACCTTAGATCTTAATAATTCATTTCTTAATGATTAATTTTTTCCCTGAGAACTATTCAACATGATCAGTTTTAAATCACGATGACTATTGTGTCAACTGATTCTATTTTATAAATCAATATAAGATGTGCATGTCTGTCTTACAGGGATAAACTGACCTAAATAATTCAGTTATCATCAATAATTAATTCAAACGAGACATTTCAGCGTTTGCAATGTCTCGCCAGCATAATTGATAACTGCAAAATATGTTGAGAGAAGTCATTCTAGCGTGTTGACTATTTTTTATACTAATTTGATTTCTAATTTTTTCCCGCTTCTTCAAAAATAGGAACAGATATGGAGTCATTTGTAGAATACATCAGGAAAACAAGATATGACAAGACAGTAATAAAAATACTATCTAACATGTATTATTACATTTTTGCATATGTTTTTTTTACCCTCAACATGAGATGAAATATTATCTTATCTGTTGCAGGCAAAGTTTCTGATGTAAGCTTACAAGTAAAACAAAACAATGCTTCAGGTGGTTTTTATGAAGTATCTTGTTCTGCACAAAGTGCGTGTACGCCTGCACCAATAACTTTGTTGGGTGTCTTTATTGGAGACAATTCAAAGTCACAACCTATATTTGGTTCCAACTTTACTTGTATAATAAACTACAATGACAATGACGGATGGACCGTTAAATGCACAGGAACAATTCCAGAGAATGTTTATTCCTCACTAAATAGCATTGCATGTCGGCCAACGACAGGTAACCAAACAGTCGATGATAAAAAGGAGATTGCATATGAAATTTGCAGAGGTATGAAATACATGATTCAAATTAGATAAGATCAAATAATTTGATCTATTTCGGTTTTATATAACATTATTATAAAACACAAGCTCTCAAGAGTTTTTCTCCGACGATAAAAAACATACATTAACAATAAAGTGCAAAGTTAGTAACAGAAACAATTCCCTTGTCACATTTCAAATATGCTTCATCGTAATACAATCTGATTAAAATCAGATCTTTCTCTTTGCTCCGTAAGGTATAACATACCATTAACGGTACTCATTTTAATGCACCAGATACGCATTATGACAACTAATGTCCCTAAAGCAATGTTCGAGACCAAACTATTTAAAATGTAAACCTAATACCATTGTTGAAGAGCTGATCAAACCAAGTTGATGAACTTAAGTATAGCCAAATCCGGACAAAGAATTAGAGCTTTGCATGCGGGAGGTACATTCCTTCATTTCAAATTATTTCCCCCATTTTATAACAGCGAATTTCAATTAAACGATATCCATATTTTCATGCCAGAACCGAAGTACTGGATACTTGGCTGATGATACCCTAGGGGAATAACAGTCCACCAACAGAGGTATCGATTAAGTGTTAGAAATAACATAAGTGGTACCAAATTTACTACACCAGATGTGCATTTCAACAATTAACGTCTCTTCAAAGATGCTGGAGGACAAAATATTTGAAATCCAAAACTTAATAATAACGTTGATGAACTGATCAAACCAAAAAGGACATAAAGCATAGCCATATCCAGACAATGAATCAGAGCTTTGCAGGAGAGTAATATATTTCTTAATTTCAAATTATTTCCAGAATTAAATAATAGCAAATTGCAATCGAAATCCGTATGTTCATGCCAGAACCAACGTTTATGGCTACTTGGCTGATGATACCCTTGGGGAATGATTGTCCACCAGCAGAGTTATTGACCTAGTGGTAGTAATAACACTATGCATATTAGGTATATTTGTCGCATGTTGTAAGATCTGTAAACATTCCATATCGGGCGATTTCTAGTGACCTTTCAGAATCCAATCGAATTTCTACCTTCAAAAGTTATGATATTATTTCCTATGAACTATCAAAAATTTTGTCGAGTAAACTGAGAAATATTTCCGAATATAGTCCAGAAATTCTATGTTCTAACCATATGATTTCGCGCCATTATTTCAATTCCATGCACTTTATTATGAAGGTTAAAGGGGCATTAGCTCAAATTCATGTTCACCGATTGGACTCAAATTCTCATATTTGATTTATAACTATGTAAAACATTTATCCAAATTATAAAAAATCTAAAATAAACAATTTACAGGGCATGGGCTCGATAATATGTAGCTTCGTTTCGTGTGTATTTTAGTATTGAACACCATCTAATTAATTATCGAGTTGACCTCCGAATACCTCCAATGGTCATATAAGCGATATAAACATAAATATAGATATAAATAGAAAGTGAACTCGTGTAATTGGATTTTTCTAGGTCTGTTTAATTTCATATTATAGATTAAAAATATATGTTAATCATCGTTTTTACCTGTATAACAATGATTTTTTGCGGATCGAATCAGTAAATCAAATGATTTACCTTTGTTTCACTTTCAATGTTGACATTCTTTTCCTTTAAATAACCTAACACGCACAATGCATGCGTTATCCATCTCTAGCTAAGGGGTTAAATTGAAGTTCACATGAATACGGAATCAATGAGGTCGAATTATTCACTTGCAAGTGAATAATTCATCATCAACGTTTCTTAGCTTATTTTGATAAAATTGAACCATACTGGCTGCTAAAAGCGAATTATTATTTCACTATTTCACTTTCATTAATGATTGAACAAAAAAAAATCATACATAAGATTTTGTATATATCTCGTAGCTAGTGCCCCTTTAAGCAAAAGTACAATAACTGTAATATGTCATTCCAATTTATGTCAATCTATGGGTAAAAATTCGTAAACAAAGTGCCTTCGAGTTTTCAAACGATTGGTTGATAACAAATTTGCACACACGATCATCTAGACACAAGTGATGTTTTCTAATCTTACACATCATTGAATTGTTAATTTTCTGTTAACTTACTGTTTATATAATTTTGAATTGTTCGAAACACTATAGTATCACCCAAGGTATAGATTCCCGTAGTTGTTTTTGGTACAAATTTTCCTAATTTTGTGTTATTAATGCTCTTCAACTTCGTCTTTTATTTTGCCATCAAATGTTTTGATACGATTGCCATTGATGAGTCATATGTAGACTGAACGGCCGTCTGGCGTACCGACTTATAAGCCTATTTTTTTTTTTAGTTTTTACAATCAGTGACAAACAAATCAAAAGGAGCAAAGTGAAAGATCTAATTTTAATCAGATTGACTTTAATAATCCTAAAAACTTGTCTAGCAAATGATATCAAGACATGAAGGAATAGTTTATACAAATATAGCATAATGAAGACTACACGTATCTTTTTACAATATAGATATTGATGAAGCAAATAGATAGAAATCCAAGATATCAAGACCCCTCAAAATGGTTTTTATGTAAAACAAAAAATAAGAATAAAAATCACCAAACAAATAAAAAGGAATAAAGCTCTGAAATTAATGAGAAGACAGCAAAAAAAAAAAAAAAACAAAAAAAAAAAATACAAAATAAATAAAGAACAGCTGTGTAATAAAACAGGAAAGTATATAAATAATCAGTCATTTTAGAAAATTTATCTCCGGATGCTTTTTGTGTTAATATTCAACAGAAAAGTAAAAAAAAATACATGTTGTGTTTATAAGAAACATATATGTATACTTTACAAGAATTGTCAAAATCATACTTCGTGGCCCGTCTTCAAAACCTAAAACGTAAAATGGTGTAATAATATCTAAATCTGCAGGAATATTGTTTTATTTGGAAGAATACAGTTGTTTATTTCCATTAAAGTACTATAATGGATGTCTGTAAAACGGACATTTATGTCAAATATCATCATAGTTGCAAAAACATGAAATTTAGCTCATGATGCCAAAATCTTTAAGAAATGTTTGTACTGCAGTGGTGCAATATTTATTTACCAACGGAAGTGTTTGCGATAGGTATATAAATGAAGACCCTATCAAAATTGTGCACAAAATGCAGACCATGGTTATCTAAAGGTTTTGGAACCATGCAATGCTATCAATGAATCAAAGACAACAGTTGTTTACCGTGGTTTAAATCTCATGTTATGTTAATGAAGGAATCAATCACGATCGATTCAAACTTAAAAAAATATGTCTTATTTTCGTATACTAGATGTGGGTTGATACCCGTGCTGATGGACTGTCAGTCCGCGACGGGGTATCATCAGCTCAGTAGAAAGTACGTCAGTGCTTACATTATATAGGAGATAACTGTATTGTATTTTAAGCTTGACCTACGTAAAACGTAGATTTTACTGCCAAGTACAATCAAGTTTTACGAAGACCAAGCTTAAAATACAATTCAGTTATTTCCATTCTAATGCCACATTAAAATAAATTCCATTTCAGTAAAGATTTTGACTTAAAAATGCCATAAATGAAAAAGTCCGCGAAACTGTTACATAATCTTTGGCATCTAAACAATGTGACGTCAAAGGTATACTCCCGATGTCACACATATTACTAGACGTATTTATACCTTTCATGCGCTTCTGAATGGTTTAAATAGTGACAAAAAAGATTTTGAGGCACAAAATGTGACTTTTTTGTTTATTTTTTTAAGAAATTAAATAACAAAATAATTCAGAATTCAAAATGGTAGCTTTCCTTAGTTACGGATTGGTAGAACGTGAAATATACCCCTTCAAAATATCTGTCAACGTCCAATGAAAATTAACGTTCCAAATGAATTGCATTAGAATTTGATTTCTTCTCACTCAGGCACAGTTGACTCTAAAAAAAATTTGGTTATTCCTTATATGTCCATTTTTGTCAAATAGCTTCTAACATTCTTACATACTTTAACATACGTTGCTTTCAAATATTTAGGTTTGAGCGCTCCAGATGAAGGTTGACCCAGAAAAGCGCTTCGGACACACGAAATTTATAGAGCGTTATTTTCATTTACACATGCGTTTAATTTCAGTATAGGTTTTCATTTATATGATTTTTAGTTTAAAGCAACTATATGCGCAGGATTTATTTGTTTTTACACAGTTTTGATTTAGAAGAAAAACCGACATGGTTAGAAAATACAAATAATTACACCATTACAAACACAATTCTATAATAATATTCTTGTAATGGTTAGACAATACATAAAATAACACCATTACAAACTCAATCGCCATTTTATATTCTATTTTTAGAAATTTACCTGTGATAAAATAAACGTCACAAAAAATAAGTCACGTTTTGTGGCGTTGATACATTCGTGTGACACACAGTTCATAATTCTATTGTGATGTGCTGGTGTACTGTCGTAAATCCATGGGAGGTGTCTGCTGATATTCTGTGGTTTACATGTTGCAATGTTCTATTATATTATTTATTAACGTATTTCTCTGTCCTGAGTGTTCTCTGAGCGTTTATTTGTACTATATCCCTGTCATGTAATGTTGTCATTTTAGAGGTATTTTTAACATTGCCATATAAGCGGGAGGTTTGGCTAGCCATAAAACCAGGCTCAACCAACCATTTTTTCTTAAAATGTCCTGTACCAAGTCAGGAATATGGCAGTTGTTATCAAATAGTCCGTTTATATGTTTGTTTTTGTAGCAGTTCAGTGTTTCTGTTGTTTTCCTCTTATTGTTGATGAGTTTCCCTTGGTTTTGGTTTGTGACCCGGATTTGTTTTCGCTTAATCGATTTATGACTATTGAACAGCGGTATACTACTGTTGCCTTTATTTAACGCAACCAATCGCTATAAAGAAAAGATTAATGAGAACCACGAAATCAAATGATTCCAAATAAGATCAGAGTGATCAATTTAGACCAAAACAGATATAATTATCAAAGTTGTATTCATAACAAAATTGTAATGATATCGTTAAAATAATATTTTGCATGCTTCATAATGAGGTTAAACACAAAACCTTATTTAATTATGACGACATGTATTATAATGGTATTAAGGATTGATCAGTTATATTCATAAGTTTGATGAATAGCACTGGTACTAATTTTCATTTTTTTGTTTGGTTTTAGATTGCATATTTAAGTGTCCCGACGAAATTGGGGATTCTTACTGGTTTGACCATAAAATATGTAATATATTTCATCGATGTTACAACGGAGACTTGTACACGAGACCATGTCCACCGTCAACATATTTCAACACTAATTCATGCACATGTGATCATACAAACAATTTACCAGGAGAATGTAACGAACAAAATGAAAGGGTTAAACTGTTGGAAGAAAGAGCATCTTGTAGCTGATGTATTTTATGAGTATTCTGAAAACAACTATTAAATTGGATTATCTTATACCATAATGCTTTGTTATTCAGGGAATTGGAAAAAATAGCGTTATCTTATCAGATACTCATGATTCTAATGAAAATCTTTCGCTTTTTTGTCGATTAAAATTTTCCTATCAATATAGTGTGAACAAATTACACACCACTGTACTATACATTGTGTTTGTTACGCTTGTAATTGAGCATTAGATTTATATCTACGGACACAACAATTGCAACGGACTACATGTCGCACAATAAGATAAAAATAAGGCGTCGACAAATATACACTTTGCTTTTTTCTTTTGTATATAATTATGTATTCATCATAATGGCATTATAAACACAGCATAGTGAGCCTATGGAAACTGAATAATTACAGATTGTTATTTTAGAGGTTACACATTGAAATAAATTCATTCATTTACTCATGCGGATTTAAAATGAATTTTTCTTTTACATGCAATACATGTGCAATTACTCTACGGCATTGGTTTGTGCTCAATGTTGAACCCCGTGTGGTGACCTGAAGTTTTATATATATATATATATCAATTTGAAACATCGTCCCTTGGTCACTGGAGGATAGTTATCTCATTGGCAATCGTACAACATCTTCTTAGTTTTATACGTATTTCGGCATATGATCCGAACAGTTTTAAAAAAGGACCAAACTACAGATACAGTTAAGTCTGCCTCATATCTTGACTTAAAACTAGAAATTGACAATGAGTGTCGGTTGAAAACAAAACTTTACGACAAAAGAGATGATTTCAGCTTCCCAATTGTGAACTTTCCATTTCTATGTAGCAACATTCCAGCAGCGCCTGCATACGGAGTAAATATCTCCCAATTGATACGATATTCCCGGGCTTGTGTTTCCTATCATGATTTCCTTGATAGAGGATTGCTGCTCACAAGGAAGCTATTAAGCCAAGAGTTCCAAATGGTGAAGTTGAAATCATCCCTTCGTAAATTTTACGGACGCCATCACGAGTTGGTTGACCGTTATGGAATAACCGTTTCACAGATGATATCGGATATGTTCCTTATGTCGTAACTGCAATACCCTTCCCTTTTCACGAATGTGACTTACCGAATTAGACTATTTACAGGATTTGTAATAACATAAGCAACACGACGGGTGCCACATGTGGAGCAGGATCTGCTTACCCTTCCGGAGCACCTGAGATCACCCCCAGTTTTTGGTGGGGTTCGTGTTGCTTAGTCTTTAGTTTTCTATGTTGTGTCATCTGTACTATTATTTGTCTGTTTGTCTTTTTAGTTTTAGCCATGGCGTTGTCAGTTTGTTTTCGATCTATGAGTTTGACTGTCCCTCTGGTATCTTTCGTCCCTCTTTTATAGGATATTAAAAAATAATCATTTATATCAACGTGTTGCTTTTAACTCTATGTTTAAATTCGGATGACATATGGCTTTTCTTGACAATTGCATTCGTAATATTAAGCGGTGAACAGTTATACAAATTACTTAAATAATTGCATCAAATAAAACATACACCATTTCTCCACACTGGTTCTTGAAACAAAATATTTGAAAGCATAAGTTGAATCTTTTTTTTTGAAATTCAAATACAATTTTTTTCTAATATCCTGTTACAATTACCTTAGTAGCCCAGGAGAGCATAATTATGGTCCCTTTGTTACATTCTCGCTCCTGTCTAGAGGAAAAAGGCGAGACAAATGTCCACTTTTGTTTTTATAAAATTACATATTGTTGTAATCTTATATCAAATTAACACAATCAGTGTATGTGCTTTGCTCTTTTTTCATTAACATACAATGCAAAAGTAATAATCACCATTTTGTCTAATTGAATGTATCGATACGTTAACTTAAAAATGTAAAAGTACACAATTGGATCTAGTTATTACATATCTGATCTAATAAGTGTACCAGGTCATTATTGATATCTGGTTCTTTATTTTGTAAATGATTTAGACGTAAAACGATATTTTCTTTTAGTTCACAATAAAATTGTATAATAATTCTATTATTATTGCAAGCTATGTTTTCGAACTTTCCATGTTGTCCATTTGGCTATGCATATGATGATTTTGCCAATATGATTTCCTTTAAAGGCCTGTCATAAATACCTAGGATCATATTTCTCTCTTGTAGAATTAATTCATGTGTCAAGCGTACTTATGTGAATATGGTCTTTAATTCTAATATTAATGGCTAGATAAAGGCAACAGTAGTATATCGCTGTTCAATAGTCATAATTCGATTAAGCAGAAATAAATTCGGGTAACAAACTAAAACCGAGGGAAACACATCAACTATAAGAGGAAAACAAAGGAACAACACAGAAACACTGAACTACAACAAAAGCAAACACAAACATACATTTACATGTAAACGGATTAGCTGCCATATTCCTGACTGTGTACAGGCCATTTTGAGAAAAAAATGGTGGGTTGAACCTGGTTTTATTGCTAGCCAAACCTCCCGTTAATATGGCAATGTTAAAAATACCGCTAAAATAACAACACTGCGTGACAGGAACACAGTACAAACAAACGCAAGAACACTCAGCACAGATAAATACATAAATAAATAATATAATAGTACATTAAAACATGTAAACTGCAGAATAACAACGAACACCTCCCATGAATTTACGACAGCACACCAGAACACCACAAACGAAATATAAACTGCACATCACATGAATGGATCAACGTCACACAAAGTGACATATTTCATGTACATCTTTTCACAGTTATAAAAAAGATGATTTTGTGTTTAAAAGTGATTTTTGCAAAAATGGCAGTTACCTTGAACCAAAGAAAGCTCAAATCGATGTAGTCTAGATTCGGTGTAAGTAATTATGTGAATAGACTTCCAACGGAATTCACAGATTGTTAATTTTATACAGAGATTTCTTAAATTATCCCAAACCGAGTTCCAGTCAATACTTATAGCAGACTCAGTTTCCCATTGTAATTGTACCTTAGGTATGGTATTTTGATTAAGTACGTGTTGAATATATTTCGGTTTTAAATTTATGAGAGTTATTTTAATACATGAAATTGTATACAGGTCTAAGTTGTCTAATTTAATTAACAAATTGACCTGCTGACTCGGTAAACTGTTTATACCCCTTAGTATATCTATGTTCATTTTAGGAATAGCATTTCTCATTTTTGAATATTCGGCTATGCATTTTTTTTTATCAATAAGTCGGTTATAGATAGAATTAAAGTTTTTGGAAAGTATTCGTTTCAAGATTCCTTATGTTAATAATAGTTGTTATTTTACTCTTGATGAACGATTTAAAATATAGATATTTTCTTTTAAATTTAATATCATAGTTACAAAAAAGTCGAGTTTTCAGTATTTCTTCCTTCATATTAGAAGTATATATTTTTCTTAGTTCTGATAAAGAGTTCAGGGCATTTATATAGAACGGTGAAATTGATGATAGACTAAAATTAGATAGATCTGTGTATCTACATAATAAATACTCTTCATCAATTATTACATCAAATTTTTTTACCAGTTTTTATCCAAACTATCCCAAGTTTCTTCATCTGAGTGAATGATCTTATTTGTCTACTCTTTACAAAAAAAAAAAAAAATGTTAATCATACCAATCCCTACCTTTTTAGTGTCTAAGCAACAAACATCCCTATCTATTTGGTTAACTTTATTTTTCCAAATAAACGACCAAATTAGTTTGTTTATTTCGTTTAAATATTGGTTTGGAATTCCACGACTGTCAATTTCAAACCCTATTAAGGACAAAATCGTACTTTTTACAATGAGAGTTTTGCCGGTGAAGGGTCAGATTTCTGGTTTGCCAGACCTCCAGACAACTTTTCATTTTATTAATTTTATCACTCCAAATCATATTATCGTCTATTTTATATCCATGATGGACCCCTAGAGTTTTAACATTTTTTTCACCCATTTAATTTTAGTACACCTAGGTTGTTTGCATTTTAACCTCCCTATAAACAGACCTTTCGTTTTATCGTAGTTAATTCCAGCCCAGAAGCAAATTCGTATATTATTAAAATTTCAAATGACTTTTCAACTGATTTTTCGTTTTTATTCAATAATTGAGTGTCTTCAACAAAGAGACTGATTTTTGTATCATGAGTATATGTATTAGCAGGTAACTTAATGCCTTCAATGTCTTTATTAGCCCTAGTTGCACAAGCCATTGGCTCAGCTTGAATAACTTAAAGCAGAGGTGCTATTGGACAGCCTTACCGTGCTGATCGTGAAATTGGAACATATTTAGAAACAAATCCGTTTGTTTTAATGCATGTTTTTGATTCTTTTTAATAACATGTTTATCCACATACAAAATATCGGTTCAAAATTCAATTTTTGCAAACAAGCTAGGACCCATCCACATTCTATTCGATCGAAATCTATTTGCTGATCTAACAAAACAATAACCGCTCTTCGTCTTCTACATCAATGTAGTGTATTATATCTTGGATCAAACTGTTTGCTTCACTGATATTTCTACCCTTTACGAAACCTTTTTGGTCTGGATGTATTAAATTGTGTAAGACATCTTTTAATCTGAATGATAAGGTTTTAGCTATTATTTTATAGTCACAATTAAATACAGTTAATGGTCTCCAATTTTTTAAAGTTCTCTCGTTTGCCCCCTTTAAAAAATGGGGATATCATCCCTCTACTTTGTGATTGATAAAGCGAACCACGTTTAAATAATTTTCGTAAAATTTGAGCTGTTCATCTAAAATAGAATCGATATCAGATATAAAGGTACCATCTTCACATTTTATCCTATTCCATAATTTACTTTGCCCGTTGGAGTTTTCTAATTGAAAGAAATATCTCGAAGATTTTTTCCCTTTTTCAAACCATTTACATTTAGATCTTATCTTAACAGCTTCAGCTTTCTATTCGTAAATTTCTTTAATGTTTTTTTTTTCAAGTTCAATAGTCTTTGATAATTTTTTATTAACAGTGTCAGACTTGAGATGCTCAAGTTCGTTTTCCATTTGTTTTAGTTTTTATCATTTACATTTAATTTGTCCAATACTTCCATACATTACGCCCGTATATAGTGCTTGGTAACGTCTAACCAATTTCTTATATTTTTGTAATGACTAATTTTTTATTTACGATCTTCCCACATTGTGAGAAAGGCGTTTTTGAATTCTTTGGTCTTGTTAGTATTTTTATTCACAAATAAAGGCAACAGTAGTATACCGGTGTTCAAAAGTCATAAATCGATTGAGAGAAAACACAACCGAGGGAAACACGTTAACTATAAGAGGAAAACAAAGGAACAACAGGAACACCGAAGCGAAACAAAAACGAACGCCAACACATAACCCGTAATTCTGGTCCCCTGTCTATCTCATTCAAACTTATAGGTTGAATCTTATATTTTGAAGATTATAAATTCAAAAAGGTGCCAA